TGTGGGTGTAATGTTAAAAAAAGTTTCCAGTGAAAAAATAGCTAAGTACTTGAATAAGTTGCCTATATATCATCTCTAGCTTTGACAATTCTTGTTTGAATAGGCGAACTTCAATTTGAGCTTTAGTCAGAGCTATCTTGTCTCAAAAATAATGAGCAGAACTAGGCAAAGTCTTTATAAATGTTCTAAACATAAATGTTTCTTATTCTTTTGAAAATATACATGTAAATATCCCCTGTCCACATACAGTTTACCTCTATCTTTTCTCACTTGATCAGTCTTCTATGATTTGCCAATTTAAATATACTAATTTATTAGAATACCTAAACTGAGATTTGATTCTAATTTATTTAAATTGCTATCTAAATTAATAACTAATACATTGACTGTATTCATATCTAAAGTAGTATCTAAATATTAAATATTTTGTATTGCTAATAACTGTATCATGTTTTATAGTTTATATTTAATATCCAATAAGAAGTAATGGTTCATTTATTTTCCCATTATACTATAGTCACAAGCATTAAATTTCAAAAATAATTTTTTCTAATAAATAGTTGAAAACTAAAAGTAGCTGACAGATGTCTTCTTGATGTGTTATTCCATTGAAACTGAAAGAATGCTCACTTTCTATTTCAAGTTAATTCTAATATACAGGATCAAAAAGGAGCTTGTTATTATTCTGTGTTTTCTTAACAGGCGGAGATTCACAAATGTTTGCTTGGATGCTGTCAGTTGCTACCTGGTTGAACTTCAGTCTATGAGCCCGACACTAATGGTTCAGACAACTGTTGGGAATTTTAAATCTCTACAGGCCAAGTTAGAACGACTTCCCTGATTGACTAGTGCAGTAACAGAATCGTTAGTGCAGGTGATGTAAACTGCACTGAATCTCTGAAAGAACAAATCCTCAGAAAAAAATCCTGAGGAAGTTGTTTCTCCTGCTGCAGTTTTCTATTATGTATTCATGCTATTCTAAAGGTATCTACAAATTGTAGAATGTAAATGTGACAAATGGAGTTTCTTTTACTACTACCATTTTTTTAACAAGAGAAAGCTTTTTTTTAATGTTGAAATAAAATTCATTGTTTGATCTTTGCCTTGGGGATAAGAATATTTAGAAAATGTTTTTATTTTACTTAAAGTAATGAGGAAAATCAGGATGCAAAATCTACTTGATAGCTGTTTTAGAATTATCAAAACAAGAAATGGCAACTGCAGAATGATGATAAAAGTGTATGTAAATGAGTCAGGTTGTAAATGTGGTCATACAGAGGAGTAATGATGCAGTCGTAACTACAATAACAAAGATAATCATTATTTCATAACTGTCACTTTAAATACAGCCTGCCTCTCTAAATAGAATGTTTGGGATGAAGCTGCAGAAATTGGCAATCTAATTTGTATTGTTAGTGAAAGAACTTTTAATATTGTTCATCAAATTATTTTCCCTATTCCATTCTAATAAAATGTTGTATCTGTTAAAATCAAATAAAGAAGTCATGAAATGACTTCTGTCTACTTTCCTTACATGCACACTAACACCAAATTGTGTATATTCCTAGACTCCCCTCCCTTGACCTGCTGCCCATGCTCCCTTGGATGCAGCCCAGGACATGTTTGGCTTTCTGGGCTGTTAGCGCACATGGCTAGGTCGTGTCCAGCCTCTCATCTACCACCACCCGCAAGTCCTTCTCTCCAGGGCTCTTAATCTGTTCATCCCTTAGCCTGTGCTTATACTGGGGGTTGCTCTGACCCGGGTGCAGCACCTTGCACTCGGCCTTGTTAAACCTTATGAGATTCTCATGGTCCAGTTCTCAAGGTTGTCCAGGCCCTTCTTGATGGCATCCCATCCTTCAGGTGTGTCGACAGCACCACTCACCTCAAGATTTGCTGAGGGTGCACTCAATCCCTTTGTCCTTGTCATTGCTAAAGTACTAAATAACGCTGGTCCCAACACAGACCTGTGAGGGTTGTCACTTCTCACTGGTGTCCTTTGGGACTCTGAGCCATTGACCACTACCCTCTGGGTGCAACATCCAACCATTTCTTACCCATCTCACAGTCCACCCATCAAATCCATCTTTCCAATTTAGAGAGAAGGCTGCTGTGGGGGACCATGTCAAAGGCTTTATAGAAGTCCAGATAAATGACATCTGTAGGCCTTTCCTTGTCCGCTGATGCAGTCGCTCCATCACAAAAGGTCACTGGGTTGGTGAAGCCATGCTGGCTTTTCTGAATCACCTCCCTGTTCTCCATGTGCCTTAGCATAGCTTCTGGGAAGATCTTTTCTGTGATTATCCCAGGTACAGAGGTGAGGCTGACAGGTCAGTAGTTCCCAGAATCATCCTTTCTACGCTTTTTAAAGATGGGAACAATGTTTCCCTTTTTCCAGTGCCTGGGACTTCACCTGATGACCATGACCTTTCAAATATCATGAAGAGCGGCTTGGGAACTACAGCCCATTTCCTCAGGACTCTGTGATGCACCTCATGGGTTCACATACCTGTAGAAGCCCTTTCTAATATTCTTTGCATCCTTTGACAATGTTCAGTTCCAGCTTCTCCTTGGCCTTCCTCACCTCATTCCTACACAGCCGTACTTCATCTCTATACTTTTCCTAGGTGCCCTGTCCTAGTTTCCAATGATTGTGCCTTTGCTTCATTGCCTTTAGTCTTAGCACCAGTTCCCTACTCATTCCCCCTGCCATGCTGATTTCTTGCCCAACTTCTTGCTTTTGGGGACTCCTAGCTCTTGTACCTTATGAAAGACAAAAAATCCATTAGCAGAGGATGGTTTTAATCCATTGACCACTGTGTTATGGGCTCAGCACACTTCCACTGCTCCACTCTGTTCCTCCTAGTGCCTCTAGAGGACATGGGACCCCCACCAAAGGGCCTTGAGTCCAGAAGAGAGGAATGAAAAGTGCTAGAGAATGTGGGCATCAATCCCTCTGCTCCTCACATGATAAAGGAGTGCTCTACAGAGCCTTTTCTACAAGATCTAATTACTCTACTTTACTTAGAGTACATTTCTTTCACTCTGACCTAACAGATACATTCTGATGATTTTAAGCCAAAGAATACACTCAGGGAAGTAATATATAAATTAAAATGCATTTTTTTTTTACCTCTTTAGATCAAAATAAATGTGAAATATTACTATTAGCCTTTTCCTTTGGCAGTGTTAAAATCTCCTTACAAAGTATTTACATAGAGGAAATCCTGTGTGTCCTGGGAAAAAGATTTGCATCTTTCCATGTAAAATATACTATCTTTAGAGATTAGAAGTTACTTTCTGCTAATAGCTTTGTTTCACAACAAGGGATATGGATTTACACTGGTCAAGTTAGTGCAGTTCACTTCATACAAATGATGTCCACAGTCTTACCTGATGTATTTGACTAAATTTTAATATTTATATGAAAGTATGTTGTTATTCTGTAATATATGTAAGCAGATTTCTATTCTCAGATCTGGAGAACTAACTGAAGAGTTGGGAACAGTCACAAGTCACAGATTGGAGGTTCAACTTCTGGGTTTTTTTTCTCTAGTTCATATAATAAGGATGCCTCTGGCAACATTACAAGTTTACCAAAGTAAGAGTATTTTAAAGTGTATCACAAGTGACCTCTGATATTTTTCACATGACAGGAGGTAATTGCAGTGTAGACGTTACCTGTTGTTTTCATAACACTTGCTCAGCTTTCAGATGAAAAAAGGGTAAGTTCTGTTTCCCATTTTAAATCTGGAGGGATGTGAAAAACTAAGATCAGAGGAGACGTGTGGGTTAATGTGGTAGATTAAATAAATAGTGACAATTAGAGGGAAGTAACTGAATGTGAACCAGTTGTCATTAACATTATGAACAAATGTATTATTACTTTTATTGGACTGTTTTCCTTCTGTGTCAGTGTTACTAATTCTCAGTCAAGACTGTGATTAAGGAAAGGAAGCGGAAGGTAGAAACGAGTTTGAAAGAATAGCTGTTCTAAGGGACTCAAGCACATTTCTTCAAAGTGATGAAACAAAGTGACTGCTCACAGAACTTGTATTTCATGTTGTCACGGTTTAACCTCAGCTGGCAAGTAAGTATCAGCCACTTTCTCACTCCCACACCCCCCCAGTCTTTTTAGGATGCGTTGAAGGGACCTTAGAGGTCAAATAGTTCAACCCCCCTGCCACGGGCAGGGACATCTTCAACTAGACCAGCTTTCTCAAAGCTCAGTCCAATCTGGCCTTGAATGTTTCCAGCAATAGGGCAGCCACAACTCCCCTGGGTAACCTGTGCCAGTGCCTCTCCACCCTCAAAGCGTTTCTTTGTAACATCCAATCTAAAATTTTTTTGTTTAAAACCGATCTCCCTTGTCCTGTCACATTCCACCCTTGTAAAAAGCCCCCCCCCCCCCCCTTGTTTTTAAGCTCCTGTTTATTACTGAAAGGCCACAATGAGGTCTCTTCAGAGCCTTCTCCAGGCTGGACAACCGCAGTCTGTCTTCATAGGAGAGGTGCTCCAGCCACCTGATCGTCGCTGCCCTGCTCTGCACCGGCTCTAACGGGTGTATGTCCTTCCTGTGTTGGGAATCCCAGAGCTGGACGCAATGCTACAGGTGGCGTCTCACCAGGGCAGGTTAGAGGCGCAGAATCACCTATGTCGTCTTGGTGGCTGCGCTGCTTTGGATGGAGCTCGGGATACGGTTGGCTTTCTAGGCTGCGAGCGAGGCTCCCACCCAGCTTGCCAAGCCGGCGGGCTCAGAAGTGGAGGGGTAGCCGGCGGTTGTACGCGGAGCCTGGCTCGGGGAGGCAGAGGAAGATCCGCCCTTGTGCGGCGGGACCCTCCCACCTGGACCATCCCTCCGGGACCATCCCTCCGGATCCATCCGGGCGGGGGCAGTGCTGGGGCGGCGCTGCGGCTGCGCTCTGCTCTGGCCCGGCCCCGGCGGTTGCGACGGCGCGGGGGCAGCGGGGCAGAGCGCGGGCTGGGGCTGCGGCCGGGGCTGGAGCCGGAGCCGGGGCCGCCAGGTCGGGGCTCTCCCAGCGCTGCGGCTCCGGCTATTGTGCCGAGTGAGCATCGCTTTGGGCCGCCGCTCCTCCCGCTGTTCGTTTCCCGAGGGAGGAGCTCGCACAAACAGAGCGGGTTCCCGAGGATGGCGCACGGAGGCGGTGGGGGCAGCTGGTGCCGCTCTCCCGTCCCCAGGCGCGGGTGAGCGGTCGGCCCTCCCAGGGGCGTCCCAGCCACTGGCATTCCTGATCCCCTGCCCTAGGAGGCTGGGAGGCGTTTTCCCCGTTTTCTGTGTTTTTAGAGTTCTCAGCAATGTACTCTGTCTTGCGGCTTCTCTCTCTCAACACCTGAACGACCGTGTAATAACCCGCACGGCTGAACATCGCCCGTAAGCAGCCAAAGTGAAAATAGAGTTTGGGTAAGCATCACCTCTGTTTGTGTTCAGCGGGAAGCTGCTGTAGTCAAGAGTTTGCGCCTGGTTTTCTGCCTTCTGCTCCCACCCCAATATAACAGAAACTTCTGGTCCTTTTTTTGTTTGCTTGTTTTTCCTTTCTTCAGATTCTTTATGAATGTGTGAAAGAGCCACTATTTGCCGTTTCTGTATAATGGTTACCTAGAGACCCAATAAGAATGGAGATTAAGCTCGATGTTCTCATCTCTACATCTATCAAGCAAAGAAAACCGTGGCCTCGCATCTCGTGGGTTGGACAGGTAAGTGTAATGAACTTCTATTTAAATAAAATTCTGCCAAGAGTAGGGTTTCTAATTATATAATACTTTGCACTTCCACTTACTTGAGGAGGGTTTAGGTAAAAAAAGCCTCAGGAAGTGATTTGAATGCATATTAAGAGTTATTAAAATAAGTGGCTTGGGTTTTTATCCTATTGACATGAGCTTGGAGATTCAAGATTTCTCAGAGAAACAATGCAGAGCCTTTTTTGTTTGTTTTCCTTCACAAAAGGCCTGTTGCTTATATGAGATTGTTGTTTTGGTGGTTCTAGTTTTTCATAACTTTTTACAGAATGTTGTGGGAAATGTGAACAATTTCTTTTTCCCCATTGCATCCTGCATTTGTTGAAAGACATGCTTTCTTAGACTTTTTCAATAAAACAAGAGTAATTTTTTTTCTCATCTGTGATTGGAATTTAAGTAGGTAGTAATTTGAGACCAATTAATTTTTTTTTTTTAATTGGAATCACTGACAAATATCTCACTAAATTAAACACTACAAGACAAGATAGATTGCGTCCAATTTTTGTTATCTTTTTAGCACATAGAGTTACTTTGAAGAAGTTTTTAATAATGACTGTAAAATTAGCTTGGTAGTTTGAAACCTGTGAATCAAATTCATCTGTAGGTTGATGCTAGATATGATGTTGTACCGTAAAGCAGATATGCCAAAGAATGAAGTTAGTATGGCAATTGCAGCTCTTAACAATTTTTTTTTTATTATTTACTGTAACATTTTTTATGTGTGCATTATTTTGCAGGCTTGTGTAGAAAATAACATTTTAAAAAATTAAATACTCTTTTATTCTTTTAACAGGAAAAAGAGGCTATTTTTCTTCTAGATGGTAAACATATAAATGAAATTAACCTGGTATCAGGGAAGACAAGGAAGAAAATCCCTCAGCTGCAGTCATTGTTGAAAAATGTGGTTGTCTTAACAACATCAGGAAATGGTTAAGTATAATATCTCGTGTATTATAAGTTCATGCTATTTTATTTGTATTTGTAACAGTCTAGAAAGAATATCTTAAGGATTTGCCAGTTAAGTGTCAACTTTAGAACTGTGGCTAAGATGGAAGAGCAGTAATTTAAGTACTTCACAATAATATCCTTCAAAACTTCTCTCCCCCAATGAACACAGCTGCTTGGTTGGCAGGAATACTTACAACAGGAGAGCTCTTTCTTTGGAATAAAGATCGGGACTGTTTGAAAATTGTGCCAGCAATTGAAGAGTCCAGGAAAGTAGTGGCAGCAGCACAAGGTAGATTTTTTTCAATTAATCCTGTGAAAAATGGAATAGAAGGAAAGTTGTTTTCTTTTCCTTAAATCTTATTTCATGAGTAAAGCTATATTTTCCCATTGTTTTGCATGTGTATAATTTGTAAGCTAGCTCAACTTTGGCAAGTGTCTTTTTTGTCATTTGAATGCTGCAAGTATTTGTGTTTAGTAATCCCCTTTAAGTAGTAATTAATTCTCAAAAGCTGTAAGTGTATTTTTTAATCGTTAGTTTTTAGCTGTTCGGTTCCTGACTAGGTTATTAATACTTTTTAGAGCAGATGTACATCTGATGTAAACGGTATATGGATAACTTGAAGCTTGTTCTGTAAGTGGGATTTTATGGCAAATGCTAGCTGGAGAGAACAAAATAAAGGCACATATTTGCAAACTTAAGTATCAAATATTATCATGTATTAGAAATATCACTGATACCAGCTTGTAAAGTGAGGTATTGTACAAGCAATTCTGCCATTTCAGGGAAGATTAGTGGTGCAATTAGGAGCTAAAGGTAATACATAGTAGAGCAGTTACACATTTATTGCTTCTTTTCATGAAAGATGGGTTTCAAGAAAGGCAATCTCAGGAAACATCTCTGATGATTGGGTCTGGTGGGAAAGATAATTCATAACGTGCATAAAAATGGACATCCCTTCTGACATAGATGCCCAAGGTCTGCTATCACTGGTGAAGCTGGAAATGGAAGATACTTAAGGTGGCAGCTGGGATTTCTTGTGATAGACAAGAAAAGAAGTTTCCTTTCTCTATTGTTTTTCATTCTATGTCTAACAAAGGAACAGAAACTGTCATAACACGTTGTTTTGTTTGTTGTTTTTTTGGTTTTGTTTTTTTTTTCCTCCAGAGTGTTTAATGAGGTTGTACTTGTATGTATCTGGAGATGGCAGAAAGGCACTGTTAACTACTCCTACAGCATGTGTCTTTTTGTGGGAGAGCACAGAACATGAAAATACATCCTCTTATAAAAACTCTTCTTCTGGGCGTTGGACGCAAATTTTACCTGATAAATCAGTCATGTTGCCTTCTACTGAAGAAAAAGAAGTTGGATTGCATGCTGCTTTCATACAGAATGAGGTAAAAAATAATCCCTAAAGCAATAATTTAATTTCCTAATTAAATTAGAGCCAGAGAAGCTATACTGAATTTTGAGAGCAATGGCTGCCCGTTTGGTATTGTGTGTAAACTTAATAGTTCAGGTCATGTTACCTTTAATGACAACATAAGAACAGCCCTACTGGATCAGATCAGAGTTTATCTAGCCTTTTAATATTCTTGCCAGCCCTTACATTTCTGAATGACAACATTATGTTATTTAATCTGAATTGTAGTAGCTATTGATTTAATTGTATAGATAATTAAAGAGAAAATTGTGTGTAATGAGCTTTTTGTGTTCGTTTTGATTGTGTCCTTTTTTCCCACAGATACTGGGTGATTGCTGTTTATGCACTTTCATATTTTACTCTGGAGAGTGTTTGGTGCTCACATTTTTGGTTCTTCGATGGCACGAAAATACCTTTAAACATGTTAGGTAAGTTCAAAGATATCTGAAGTTACAATAGCTTCGGGATAATTTTAATTATTATTTAGAGCTGGGACTCAGAGCTGCGATTGAACACAGTTATGTCCAATTATCCTGTGGTTACAAGTTCTTACTTATGTTTACATATGTAAGTTCACAGCATACCCTCTGTCAGTTCAAAGCCCTTCTCCCCTGTCCTATTGCTACATGATCCTTGTAAAATGTAATTAATGTAACAGCATTTACTTACATATTCCATATTTCATTATTAGCTTACATCTAAATAAAACTGAGTGTATTTATCATTCTGTGTGGGTGGCTATGCATACATAAACATCTGTGCACACGTTTTACTGTCAGAATTTTTTGCATCGTGCTAATAGAATGTCTTTTTCTTGTTTTTTTTCCTCTTATTACTTATGTATCTTATATTTTCTTCTATTTCTTATACTGTGCAGCCATGAATGCCCTGAATACATCTTCCTCTTCTTTATTATGCAGATTTGTGTATTTTATTTGTTTTCTGTTCCCCTTTTCATCTCTTTTGCTTGGCTGTGAAAGAGTGGGTGTGTTTTTCTCTGGGTTGGGACCATGTATTGAAATAATTATACAACCACATAAAAATGCAATTGAGCGATTATCTTGAGGATAGATTCCTCTTCCTAAATGAGTTACACAAATCTATAAGTTTAAATGGAAATGTCCTCTGCAGGTGTCATTTGAAAAACTTGCTAAAATTTTGCCCTAAATGTGACGTGGTACTTTGATACTGACTTAGTAATGATGTCCTCCTTGATCTAATGTCCACAAAGTTTATCAGTAACATGATAATGTCTTTCAGGTAATATAGAAAATGAAATAAAGCATAACATACTCAATGTAGAAATGTGTATATATATGTAGCAACTGCAGCCTGAAGTCATGACCACATCCAGTAATGGGGCACCAACAACTTCTTCGTTCAGAGCAGCATACTATTGATTTTCAAGTTCTGAGTATTCTTGTGGATAGTGTTACAAGGTCTGAGAAAGCTGTTCCTGGCTAGAATGCAACTGCCTTAATTATGTCATGCATCTATATCTATTTGAATATATAGGTATATATCTATATATATAGCCCAAATTCCTATCCCATAAAAATAATTCTCAATGCTAGGGCATAATATTTAAACTCGTGTGAATACAAAATATTTTTTCATTTGTAAGGCGTTTGAAGAAAAAAAGGTTGGGGTTCTTTTTGTTGTTTGTGCTTTATATAGTCTTGTCTTGCATGGTTTTTTACTACAGTGAATCATCCCATTCAGCATAACCACTTGGTTTTGTTGTCTTTTTGTTGGTATCCAGTTCTTTGCCATACCAGATCCAGTGGGTACAGCAGACTTGTTCCCTTGTTGACTTGGTTCCTCAGTGTGTGTCTGTAAAGTCAAGAGGAGCTTTGCTATGTGCGTTTGCAAGAGATGGACTTCTGTTTTCAGTAGCTGTTAATCAAGCTGATCCAAAGGTATGGGTGATAGTGCATCATTTAAGCTAATACTGCAGTTTACATAAAGTGGTAGCAGAATTTAAAAACACAGTTTTAGGATGATTTGTCAGCATTCATGGAGATAGATGGGATTATATTCTCATTGATATCCATAGCTAAAATATTCTACTACAGCTTGTAATGTTTTGAATGTGGTGTTCAGTTAGAAGTCCATGTAATCTCCTCTGTCATTTCTAAGCTTCAATAATAAAGAAATTAATTTCAGTTACTGCATTATATCTGCAAAGACTCTTGGTGATTCTCAGTCAAGCCTCAGCCTAATACGTATTGGAGGTGATGTTCCCACTTCATAATGTTATTCCTTCTAACAACTCAGGTTAAATCTTAATGTACTCTTTAGTGCTAACGATGACAGAGAGTATCGACCACCTTATTTGGTGTACGAGATTGGAATGATGCAGTCTTTCAAAGCTCCAGCTGTTGATTACTAATAAGGCTACAGAAGAGTGATCTTTTATTGAGTGTTTCAGAAAAAGTTATTTTAATGAGAATATCAAATTATCTATTGAGTATATTATAGTTCTTAATTATATTTCAAATGTAGAATTAGGTATAGAATTTAATAAATACTGTAACAGTAATAAATACTAAGTGCAATGTCACTTTTGTATGTAATAACATTTCCATTACATCAAATAGGCTTTTATTTAGTAATAGACTTTGGGTTTTTTTTTTGCAATAGTGACATTTTGATACAAACATTTATGTATGTCTTTTCATTTATTTTTTCTTTCTAGGCCACTCAGGTTTTGTTTTTAAACACACTGAATTTTGTTACAGTTTCGGGTAGCCTTAAAGGTTGTAGTAGCAAGAGTAACACAGTCCCATCCAAGTTAATCAGGTCAGTATTCGATGCTGTTTCTGCTGTTGCTGTGAATTTTTTTAGTTTTGTGTTGTAGTTTGTTTGTTTGTTTTATAAATATTCTAACTTTCTGATGCAGAAATGTGACAGAGAAAAAAATATTTTTTTTACCTGTCTAATTTAGATCTTACTGGGTTGGTGATATGAGTTGGACTCCTGATAGCCTTTTCTTGGCTTGCATGTTAAAACGCGGATCTTTGATTTTATTGACGTGCATGGGTGAATTGCTGACCTTAATTGCATCTGGCTGCTCTGTAGAATTTGGACCAGCACAGTTTATTCCATTTCATCCACTAATAACATACAGGTAAAAGGGTTTGAATGTTTATATGTTTCTGTCTTACGGTCTTACCTTACTTTCTATCATATTTATTATAATTTTACATAAAAGTAATCTTTCAAATTCACTCTCTTGCTTGTCTTCTCAGTATCTGTTTCTCATTCATAGTTCTCTTTCTTGTAATGGGTTTGTCGTGATGAAAGTTGACGTTGTGACAATGTAAGTATACATCCTGTGATTCGCTTTTCGAAAAGTATTTGTATTAGTAATTAAAAATAGCATGTTTTTGTGATGTAAGAAGAAATTAAATTTACAGAAGTACTAGAAGTGCAAATTTATTTTAATCTGGTGCAATTTCCCTGCTAAGTATTTAATTTTACCTATAGAACTTGATATAAAGTTTCCATATCAGACATCATAAATAACATATTTACATGGACAGAAACTAGTTAGGTTTTAAAATGTTCTTTTGGGGTTCTTCAGATCTAAATTTTGAAATCACGCTACTGGGTGCATTAGGGAATAGAAGGATCTCTGATAACACTCTTCAGCATAAACTGAAAGTTACAAAAAGTAATTTAGCCCCAATAATTAGAGGAAACAAAATAGAATCTAAAGTTAGATTAGTTAGATTTTTTTTTTTAAATGCCATCAATTTTGGTTGACTGAAGCCAGATAGTATGTAAATGTAACATCTCATAAAGATGTTCAAAACATTATGATACCTTCTTACATTACCTGGTTGAAAAGTCAGATAATAAAATGTATTAAAATACATGAATTATCTTTATTTATTGAATATATGCAGCTACTTTTTTTTCAAATAAACACAAACAATAATTTTATACTTGGCAATAATATGTTATGAGGCTAATATTAACACAGCTTTCTGGAGCTCATTAAGGAGGGATTTCTCTGTAAGAAAAGACTAAGACCTCTTTTGAAAGTGAAGACTTGTGTGCTTGTATATTTTTCTTTCAAATATCTGAACTGATACTGAAATCCTAAGATTAATATCTTGAGGGATTTTTTGGATTTTATGTGTGACTTTCTTAGAAGTGACTTCAAGTTTCATTTTCAAGCATTTGTCATACCTAGTAAGAGGTGAATAACAATACATAATATAGAAATTTAAAGTCAAATCATGAAAAAATACAATTCTTAAAATAATAAATGGATACCAAAAGCTGTTTTTATTTTTATTTAAATTAGAAAAAGTTACTACTGCAACAAAATATTGGTATTTTACGAGCATAAATATTGTGTCCATAATGCTCACCCTGCAAAAATTTGGACACTTCTTAGGATTCTGAGAGGAGTTATTGGGATAGTGGAATACATGGCATTAGATGTTCTTAAGTTATTTCTTCTCTCTTCTGTTCATGGTTATTACATATGAGAATTGCCTCCTAATTTTTGATGTATCTTTGTTTTAGACAGCAGCACTCATTTTGTCAAGACTCTGGCCAGTCTCCTGCTTCTTCAGATTCTGAACGTGACCTTATGAGACAGAGATTCTCTGTTGCTTCACATTCGAGATTACCCTACCTCATTGTCTCTGATGGATACATGATAACAGTGCTTAGATTTCCTAACAACTTTTCACCATCAGGATTTATAAAATCCCTTTTGCTTGATTCAACCCAACAGCTTGAAAATATCCGTCAGAATTTGCAGAACTTCAAGGTAGAGTTATGAATCAGTAAGCTCTAAGTAAAAAGCTTTATCTGTATGAAAATGTGTGAATTCTAAACCAAGTACCTCAGTTTAGTTTACTGCGATATTTGCTTAAATTTATTTGAATTATAAAGTTGTTTTGAGAATAGTGTTGGTCTGCAAAACAATGAATACACAGTTTTCCTGAAATTTTGTTCCCTTCATGTCTGGATGATATTTCAGTAAAATGTAGTGAAGGGAACAGTCTTAATTGTCCTATGTTACTTTTTCCTGGTACTGCAAGAGAAATAGGAATTTCTGCTTCTATAGAGTTGGTTCAGAGCATTGACAGGCATTATGCTACTCTTACCAACTCATCCTTTCAGAATGATGCAAAAAGGATTCTGTAAATCCTATATCTTAGGCAGCTGCTGTTTTGGAGCAGTCAGCAGCAGTCCCAGTGATGCAGTGTGTATGCATCCTGGCAATTAAAGCTTGCTTAAAAGCATTTTTTGTTCATTTCTCTGTGACTTCTAAATTGAGCTAAGTTTGGGAGAAAGGAAACCACTGAAAGAAAAGGTCCTGCAGCTGTTGGCAACCATATAAGATATAATAGATATTTAGTTCAGAATTTTTGTGTTTGCTGATGGAATACAACTTCTCTTCCAATTCAGTTTCTGGTTTGAATTTTTGAAGAAGTGAGTTATCATGGTATTCATGCATAAGCTAGAATAGTGAACAAGGATTTGGGCATTTAAAGAAATATGTTACTAGTAAGAATGCAAGAAAACCTTACATACAGGGAAGCTTTTAGGGCCTCTTAGGGATGAAGCAAGCAAATTCTTTCAGTATGAAACTAAAGTTGTCTGGTGCTGAGAGAATTCTGCTTTCCTGAAGCATGGTCAAATGACAGCTTGTTTCTGTGCAAAAGATACTTGCAGACCTGTTCTCCCTTTCTGTCTGGGACTTCTGAACTGAAGCTTTTAACAGAAGTAACTTACTTCTTTGACTTATTAAGTGTCTGTCTTGCTCAAGACTGATAATATGTTTTCTGTTATTTTTATTTCTTTCAGCCTAAAGGGAGATCTCAGTGTTTAAGATCACTGTTGTCTTTAAAAGCTAGCCTTTTAAAACAAGTTCAAAACCAAAGTTCCATCTTTTCTGCCCTTCCAAAGTTCCTGGAGAAAGACACAACGGAAATGAGCGAGAAAACTGTGGATTTACTGGTACTTAATAGCATTTTTCCACTTATAATTGTGAAATTATGTAATTTTAAGGTATTCTAATTAGAAAGAATAGTGTTTTTTTTCAAATATAGACATATTTGCTCTTATTATATATATTTAAAGTAATTAATTGTTGATTAAATTTTTGTTTTCTGTATAGATGTGAGGAATACAATTATTTTTTTTCAACTGATTCTTCTTCACATGTTTCTATTTTCAAATGTTTTATTTCTTTCAGCAGTGCATTAACTTTTTGAAGAATATGTGCTGGTCTACATGTACCTCAGTTTATTGTATTTTAATAGAATTGTAGAATGTTTTCAGTTGTTAAGGGACCTTAAAGATCGTGTAGTTCCAACAGGAACATGGGCCACCTTCCCCTAGATCAAGTTGCCCAGAACCCCATCCAGCCTGGCCTTGGGCACTTCCAAGGATGAGGCACTTGTCCAGTTTCTCTGGACAAGTTCTTCCAGTGCCTCACCACCCTCAGAGTAAAGAATTTTTGTCTACTGTCTGATCTAACCTGCCCTCTTTCAGTTTAAAGCCATTCCTTCTTGTCCTCTTGTTTTACATGCCCATGTAAAAAGTCCCTCTCCATCTTTCTTGTTTTACATACTGGAGGTTACTATTAGCTTCACTTCGTAATAAAATGTAACATTACACTGTTGGATATACTGGAACTGTAGAGTATATTAATAAGAACAGTGTTATCCTTAGTAAATAAGATAGTTATAGTTATCCCCAGTTTCAGAGGGTTGTTTCATCAATTCCAAAATTTGTGTGTGTCTTTTGGAATAGTGGCCCTGTGATCGTAGTTATTGTGCAGCCTTTCCCAACTCCATTTCTGCATTTCATGTTTTTGTGTTTTAGTTTGTTCTCTGAAGCTTTAGGGCTTTTGTTGAATGGCTTTTATATCTTACAGGTATCTGGAAAAACTCTTTCTCATATTCTGAGCTTAGTGAAAGACATGGTTTCACTTTCTACTATAAAATCTACTGCTCTGTTGGCAGTGTAATTTTTTTGGTGTTGTTGTTAGGTAATTTAATTTCTGTCTGCCCAACTATTACAAATAATCACATTTAATTTGAGATCAAGATAAAACTGCTGTGAATTAAACTCACTAACATTTAAGCAAGTTAATTAAGCATAAAGATTTCATTTGAAAGGCCGACCAAATGGTTATTCCTTGCAGACTGCCCTCTCTCAATAAACTTGATTTATACTGGAGTTTTCTTTCTGTCCGATTTAGGATTATGAAGAAGAATCAGATGATGAAAAGCAGTTTTACAGTAGCTCTCCCAGCTTTCATAACCAAAGAATCCTTTCAGTTGTTGGTAAAGCTGATCAAGGCCACTTAGAATTTGCGTCAATGTTTGATACTATGCATGCAGATGATATTGAAGAGAAAGATAAATCATCGTTGAAACTATATTCCATTCAGAAAAACCTCCTTACTGCCTGGCAGATAGGGATTTCAAAAAATATGGAAGAGAAGGATACATTGCTGAATTACACAGTGAACTGCATTATCCATTTTTTCAGCATTGTTCAGTTTGTGAAATGTTCTTTCCTAAACCAGGATGCATCTTTAAACAAGTCTGTGAAGAATACTCAATGGATGCATTGTGTCCTAAAGTATTTTCAGCAGTGTTTGACTGCCTTGTACTGGCATTCAAGAGCCAGTCTAACTGGACATGTGGTAAAACTGACATTAGAAACTTTGAAACTGCTGCTTATACAGCAACAAGATCAGTTGTTCTCAAAAAACCTTTTGGCATGCTTCTGTCTTTTAAAAATGGTTTCTCACACTCTCAGTAGTGTGTGTGTACTACAGTATGAGAATTTTTTTGCATCTTCTAATGGTAATTTTCTTGTGGAACTGGACTCCCTTACTGTGCCTATTTTCTTAGTTCTTGATGACAATACTACTCAGCAATTCAGCTCACTGAAATCTCTGCTTAGAGAACCTCCTCGAGTAAACCATGATGCAAAAACAGAAAGAAGGTATGAAAAATCTTTGCATGGGGAAATAAAAATATGCAGGACAACAAGGGGACCTGGCTCACCCAGCATGGGTTTGTGAAAGGCAGATCCTTCCTGACCAACATGATCTCCTTTTTTGACCAGGAGTTCTAATGGTTGAATTCAGTGATCTTAAGGGTGTTTTCCAACCTAAATGATTCTATATGTTGGAACTAAATTTTATTAGTTACACTGTGATTGCAACATCCCTTTGTTTTTTTCTGCCTTTTACTCAATGGAAAGGCATGATAATCTGTTAAAGCACGCAGATTAAGCCTCAGACCTAAAGATGAATATAGTTAAGTTGTGGTGACTAAACTAATTACTGCAAATTAATTCAGAGATAATTGATGGGTTGACAGCTCACACCAGGTCTGGTAATGCAGCATCAATCCAGGTATTGTAACTTTGGATGCTTTAACTGCCTCTTGTACTTTCACTCCTTCCCATTTGTGAATTCTATGGAGCAAGAGCCTGCTTATATGTGATATATCAACAATGTCAATTTAGTCTGCAAAGTTTGTATTGATTATGAATGTGGTGCCTCAGAGCAATAGGAAAAAGCCCAGTCTGTGGAAGCTTACTAAACTATGAGAGTTACTTTTTCTTTGAAGATATACACATAAACTTGGAAGACACTTAAACTGAAGTGTGCTATCCAACTATTGGGAAAATGTATTATTGTCACTGGAGTATTTCTGTACTGCAGAACTCAGATGGATCCAAGTGTATTATTCATACAAGCAGGATTTTCCTTTCCAGAGACTTAGAACCAAAGAAGTATTTTAACTCATAAATTTAATTCTACTACAGTAAAACATGTTTCCTCAGTAATCTTAAAATATAATAATGTGTTCATTGCAAATGCGATTGACAAATTTCAGTTGTCTCTGAGAGGATAATCCATGTTTTTGATTAATCGTTATGGAGGAACTGACCACTATGCCTATGACTGACTCTGTATGTGTTAATTATGGAAACAATAGTACTTGGGAAGAAGATGCAGAGGTGTTGCAGTTCTTTTTCAAGTCCCTAACAATGTGTATTTGCTTGTATCATCAAGCTTATTACATATCTGATCTGGTGTATCTGTGCTGGACAACAGGGACTTGCCAGCCCTAAAAGCATGCTCTGTAGTCTTGTTTTCCTGTCTTTGCTTTTCTGTGTATACTTTAATTGTATTTTTAATCAGTCGTTATAAGCAAGATACTGATGCCTGTTTTGAGGTTTCTCTGAGATTATTTCATTTCCCCAGTGTTTAGCTAGCAAGAGGATTAATTTTGGGGGGGTTTGGGTGCTTAAAGCAGATTACTGTGTTTAGGCAAATTTGGAAGAATGAATGTTTTTTTCTCCTCATTGTAGTCAAGAAAGTAGTTGATATAATTTAATTTTCAGGTACGCAATGTAAAATACAAGGTAGTAAGAAATAGATGTAAGTAACTTTTTTAATTCTTGCTTAATTTCATAATATTGTACTTCTTGAACTACAGGTTGATTGTACTATGGCGATTATTATATAAGAAAGCAGTTTGGTATCAGGTGCAACTGAAAAGAAAAGTGAACAAGAATGTAGAAGAAGCTTCTGTTGTCTCATTGCTTATAAGTCATATACAAGCAACCCTCCAGTCTTCAAAAGTGACATTAGAACAACATCTGAAGATTAATTCTGTATCTGGTTAGTACAAATGTTAGGTAGTTGCACAGTCAACTAAATACTAGGAAAATTAGGTCCAACTTAATGACAATCAATAACTGACTACCAGATTTAAAAAAAAGTTAATAGTGGGACTTTTCTTAGAATTCTTGTCAGAATTCTGTCTTTAATACTTAATGTCCTGGTACACCTGTAGATTGTAGATAATCTTTAGAGCTTGTTGAGCAAAATAAAAAGAATACATTGACTTCAGTTTGCTTTGAGCCATGTCCTAAAGAACCTGAATGTAAGATCTGAATTCTGATCTCCTTTGAATTGTGTTGTTTCCTCTGAAGTGAATGGGCATCACAATGTGTTTATTCCATGTGATCATTGTGGGTACGACCATGTTGTGTATGCAAATGTAGTCAGCCTCAACTAAGCATCTAAATTAGTGTAACCTAAGGTAATAGACTTAATCTATTATATTTATTTTGCAGTCTATAGCTGTAGCCTAATGTCTTACACATTACTGTCCTATGTTCTATCTTCCTTTTCACTTCTACACTGCCAAGCCCAGCTTCCCATTTATGTCTCCCACCACAATACTGTTTCATCTCCATGTTCCTGATCTCTCTCCCTTAAATGACACTCCTAGATTCTCTTCCAACGTCACTCCAATACGATACATTAGCTCCTCCTGGAGAGGAGCTAATATAGCACCTGTCCTGGGAAGGGGTATTCAAAGTAATCTTTGCTCATATGCTCAAAACTTAGATTTAACTGTGAGAATAGGAATTTGCTAGAGTCTCGCATATTTTACTCTGCTTTTCATAAATCTCTAATACTGAAGTGCATGTGTGTTTGCATATGTAAAAGTAACCATGTAGAGCTTTTAATTTGTTACATATGTGACTTTTATAGGTGAGGAGCAATTCCTTTTAGGCTCCTACAGAGAATCTGTTGACACTTGGAAAAGGTCTCTTTGTGAAACCAAGGCAAAAGGTAGGGGATAAAATCTTTCTTGGGGGTAAATTGTGTAATTGCTTTACGTAGTTACTTGCGACTCCATTTACCCTTCAAAAAAAAAAAGGGTGAGAAACAAAAAGAATGCACATTTGAAATTAAGCTGGGATTTGAATAGAGACCAGTCAAAACTTAAGTCTGGTTGATATCTGAGAAAATTCTGTGCACTTCTATTTTAATATCAAAACTGTCTTGTGTTTACGATGTACTTGGTACAAAAAAGCTCTAGATATATTTGTGAGTAAGAAAGAGACAATGAAAAACAGATGAACAAAAATCAATTCCTTTAGTAGCTGTAAAATGAAAAGACTTAGTGTTTGGAAAGTGACAAAATAAAACCTGTGGCAGGAATTTTTTTAGGAGTTGATTTGAAGTGGATATACCAGTGTCTCTTTCCAGGCATCAGGAGAAAATTTTTTGTTGGTCATTATGATGAGGAATAACTCATTGAGAAAAATATTCAGAATATTGAAAGCTTGGTGGATGTCTAAGCAATTTCATTGTGGTTTAGGCATTCCTTCTTTGAAGGCTAAACTTCCTTAAGCTCTCTTGTCTTTGTCTGTGTCTTAACAGTTATGCACAGTATTATTTTGAAAACTACTGTATCTCTAGAAGTAAAAATGTTGTGGATGAGCATTAACTTACTAGTTACTTAGAGGTTGTAGAAAGATCATATCCTAAAATAGCTGCTCCTGATTTCTACTTCTTCAAGTGTATGTTTATGTAGATATGTTTCTGGAGAGGGAAGAGCTAGTATTTTCACTCACTGCATCTGATTTTGTGTTTATTGTTTCTTTTCCAACTGGACTTCTGCCCTATTTTTTTATCTTTTAATACAGGAGGAAAAAGAACATGTTTTCTTCAGACTAGATATTATCTTTCAATATTATTTTGCCACCTGTATCAGTATAACTTGTGTGAAGCTCAGGGACTCTGTGATCATTTAGTAGGAGAGATTCTAAGGCGATCACAGCTTTCAACAAGTCAGATGGAAAAATTTTCTGGTATGTTTATATTGCCTAAAAGGCTGATAAGGTATGTTGACACTGTTTGAATAACCTAGTGTCTGATTTCTATGCCATCACACACACACTTGACAGCATACTTTTCTCTTTACACTGGACTGAAGTCTGTTTTCAGTAACTTCCAAGATCTTTTTCTGATTCTCAGATGATCTTTCAGCAGCACTTGTTGGAATATGTGCTTAGACAACTTTCATTGTATAATTAATAGTGAAAGCAATATTTTAGACTCAAATCTCCTCAAGAAAAGACTTTGGATAACAAGAATAAGGGGAAAATTATGTGATTTTGTTTTGTATTCATTTAGTATTTTTTATGATACAACATGATAAAATAGTGGATTTTATTTTGGTCATCAATACTAAGTTAACAGTGAGGTGTTTTTGCAGATGATTGTAAATTTTGTTTCTATTAAGTCTGAATCTAAGTGAAATCTATATTTCCAAATTTAAACAAGTGGGGTTTTGACCCAGCACTACTCTAAGTACTAGAGGTCCATCTCCAGCCATTAAAAATCTGTTATAAAACTCTTCTAGTATTAATATAAGGTGTAATTAGTGTAAGTTCTGAAAGATTATCAAGAAATTAAATAAGTTTGCTTGCTTTAAAGAAATGTTTTATAACGTAATTAAACAATTTTAGCATTCAAATGTAAAATCATTTTCCTCATAATGCTTTAATTTTATGTGTTTTTTTAGATACCAAGTATTTTCAGCATGAACTATGGATGGTAACCAGCATTCATACTGAGACTGCCATGGCTGTGATTAGGTCCATGGCACGGTTCATGGCTGCTTATTTCACAAATCAGCTGCTCTACATCTTTCCCCCACACAGTGTTGACATCCTGCATCCACTTCACATCAAACAAGGTATTTTCTCTAAAAGCAGTTTAATTTGCTTAAATCTTGATAATTTTTTACATGTATATCAATACTGTCTGTTATGCTTTAACTTGATCATCGTTAGCTTTTCCCCGAGTACAAGACTGGCTCAGTGAGCACTTCCTCCAGCTCCCTCAGTACCCTTGGGTGGATTCCATCCAGCTCCATAGATCTGTGTGTCTCTTAAGTGGTGTAGTAGGTCACTGACCATTTTCACTTGGATTGTGGAGACTTCATTCTGCTCCCTGTTCCTGTGTTCCACCTAAGGGGGCTCAGTACCTGAGGAACAACTGGTCTTACTGTTAAAGACTCATGCAGGGAAGGCAATTAAGTGTGTCAGCCTTTTTATCATCCTTTGTCACAATTATGCCTAAAGATCTGGCTCTGACTGACTTTGATCCTCCCAAAAGTGAGAAAAAAGGAGGGCTTAACAAATAGTTGAATTGGATCTGATATGCTGTGACCCAAACTGAAAAGCCAGAAATGAGTGTTTTTTGCTTATCTAACAGTCAAGCTCTTGGAATCCAAGAGGCTTCAGACACTGTATTGTCAAAACAAGTGGGAATGCCAAATCAGTTTGTTGTTGAACTCAAGTAGTACTTGAGTTTAAGTTTAAGTCCTGCTTTTCAGCATTTTTATGAGAAGTAATATTTATCATAGTATGTGGTTTATGTGTTTTCTGCAAGAGATTCTATTTAAAGATTTCCCTTGTTAGGAAACTTGTGGATTCAGTATTAATTTTTTCCGTGGGAATGTAGATTTATTTGGAGGTATTTTAAGTACTCTACAGGTAGGTCGATATTATAACACCAGAAACTTTTTAACAGTATTAACTTATTTTGATTGATTATGTTTTCTGTAGTCTATTTGAATACATTGACTATTTTTAATGTTTCTGTACTACAGAAACTATGCAGTGGTATATATTTCTTTCTTTGTGATCTTTTAGATGTTTTAATTGGGCAGCTTTCCAGATGAAAGCTACAAAATAAGACCTTGATTTTAATACTTCCATTAGGCAAAGATCCATGTATGTGTTGAGGCAGTCTTGGTAAAATTATGTAGCACAAGCTGGGTTAGTGTGAATATCACTCTAAATAATGCCATTGTCTGAGCAGTAAACAGAAACTGTGAGAGAAGCAAATAGCTCCTTAGAATTCATGTTGATCAGCACCTCTCCAGGCGAACCAGTATGTAAAACCTTGAAAAACAATTCTAAATCTACAGAAAAAAGGAAATACTAAATTTGTATGAAACTTGTCTCTATATACTCTCCTAAAATCAAAGAACCACAGAGTGTTATGTAACATTCTTTCTCTAAAATGCATTTTAGCATTCTATCTTCTGCAGTAAAGCAATGCAGTGAGTACAAACAACATGGATACACTAGGAAAACTCTCCGAATTTCCATTTATCTTGGATGTACTCTCTGGTATATCCTATGCATATGTAGCATATTTGCAAATGGTCTAACAGTACAATTAAGTCTTTAAAGTAAGAAAAACTCATAAGTTTTGCACTTGCTTGCATATCCCACATTATTAAGCAGAAAAATAGGCTATTCTGAACTCATTATTATATCATATCATAAGCTGCATCTGTCTGCTGCAGATAAACTCCACAGTGAGGCCCTAAAAGTAAAGAGCAATTGTACACTGAAATCAATCCAAAAGCAATGTGAACAAATGAATTCACGCAGTTTCATATAAACTTTAAAACGTGTTTTTTGTTTTACAGACTTACCTCCTCGTGTTATTCCGCTGCAACACTGTTTGGTTGCCAGAGCTGTCAGGAAACAGAACCTTTCATCTGTGTGGACAGCTGAATATGCTCTTGATTTGTTCTTTATTGGTGGACTCATCCCAGAAGCTGTGTGGTTAGCACACACACTTGGGGACTGGAAACTGTCTGTTTCAATTGGTCTGGCCTACCAGCTGTATTGTCAGAACTCTGATGGATTTTCAAGGTAAATTTAAGTTTGGAATTAGTGTGTTATATTTTGTTATGAGTTATCTGGATGAAGTTCTTTGTGACATGGACATCTTTTCCTCAAAAATTCGTATTCCCAGGCTCCTGGTAGGTGTAGGACTTAATATGTTATGATTAGTCATTTTGGCTGAAATATTCATTTAAGAGACCTTTATTGCATTATGTATGGCTATTACTTTGTTATTCATGAGCAGTTTCTTGTTATACTTTCAGACTGAAAAACACGGAACATCACCTGCCTTTAGACCTATCACCAATGCAGACTTTTCAGGAGAAGTTACAGTCTTTTTTAGGGCAGCCAATAACTTCTGAAACATCAGGACATATTAAATACAAGAAGTTTACAGGTACTTAATATTAAAAATTATTGTGGTTATTTTTCATGTTATTTGATTACTGTGTTATACTCTTCCTCATCTTCTCCAATGTGCCTATTACTGTTACAGTATAGGGATTTGGGTTTTGGCTTTGATCAGTCCAGGAATGGAGTCTATACTGTCCTAATCCTGATTGGACTATATGTGGTATTAACTTGTTTGGAAGAAAACTGAAGCTTCATTAGAACAAGCTAAAAAAGCAAATGTATGAACAGTATATAAGGTGTCATCACACTTAAAATTAGCTATGTGAAGGTGTATAGTTTTGGTTTTCCTTTCTGTCATAGGGGATAGGTCTGGTGTCTCATAGCCTGGCACCTCCATGTCCCCAGGTCCAGCAGCTAGCAAGGCTGAGTGGGTTCCCAGTAGGCACATACACAAACACACATCCCATCATGAACCTTGTGCAATCCCAAAAAGCTCTTCCTCTGCATTCTGTAGTATGTCCTATCCTTCTTGACAGTAACCTCTCTCAAGCCAAGAGGTACTAAAGGGAGCCTCTCCCATTGGCTCATCTTGATAGGTTTCATAACTGGACCTTGGGGCTGATGGCTCTCCTGGGAAAAGCCTGGACAGGTGTCCATTTCTCTGAGTACATAATTTGTTGCTGTGCGTCTCTGGGCATGTGGAGATAAGCCTTTGGGCTGATTTTTCTACTCTGAGTAGATGGGTCTAGGGTACTATTCAATCTCTGTGCTACTTTGTATGTGTGTAGATGAGATTTTTATCATACAACCTAATTTAATATTTTACTGCTAAAATTCACAAAATTAGTCAAATCAACCTGTCCTTATGTACACTTTACAGAAAGTTTACTGGCAAGATCTCCATTTCTTACTCTTTTTGTGTGTTTTAAGACCACATTTCAAGTTCCTGTCAGCAGGTGGATGTTAATTAATCTTTTTCTAACATTATATACATTCTTCTTTTGTACTCATTTCCAGGGATTTTGTTTCAAATAGATGCATACACAAATATGTGCTGTATGTAACAATCTATAAGTATGATAAGGAGTTGGAAAGATTTGACAGCATTTACTTCAAGACTAGCAGGAGGAGTAGAAATGCAAGTAGAGCAGTATGATTCTCTGTGAATTTCATGAACCAGTTAATGATGTATGTTAAATGTCCTGCTGCCTCTAGGAGGTGAGGTAAAGATGTACTAATATGTAGAAGAGATCCAACAAAAGAGATCCTTGATCTTTGTGCTTACTGATAAAGGAGTTGTTTTAGTCATTATTAATAGTGTACATAGTTTATGCCTGCTTGGTAAGAATGATTTGCTAGACTTTTTTTCCAGCCAAATGCCTGGCTGAACTGTTCTCTATCTAGAAAAGCAATAGCTTCCCCGTTAATAGGGAAAATTTAAAATTAAGAATTGAATACTATTTTCAACTGTGAGAGATCTTATCATAAAGCAAGTAGGCGAAATCTATGATTGTAATAGATTAATGCAAATTCTGAGAACATAGCCTCATATCAAAATGAAGGCCCATGTATTCAGTCAATTAATTTTTTGTTTTCTGTGCTTAATATTTTATAGATCCCATTGAAGAGGAAGATGCAGATGTTCTTTATAGTTCAATACAAGAACTACTGAAAGCAGCTGTTATGGCAGATGCTGATATTCTCTCAGAGACGTTTCAGCTGTTGATGGATTCTGCCAAGGATGTCAGCAGAAAATTGTATGGTTTGGTTCCAGTTGGGCTCTATCTTCCAGCGCCACCGTTATACTGTCCTCAGCCAGCTTCCCTCAGTGAAGTAAGCATGTGTGATAGAAGTTTCTTGGGTCTTTGTTTGAATGTATTTATGAAGTGATCATGATCTTTGTTCTGGTTCCTTTCAGCTCATTTTTCTGTTTTTTTCCCATGTCCGTTCATTTACTTGACTAACACCATAGTGATAAGAAAGTAGGTGTGCCTCTGTGTTTTTTCCATGAAGGATCTATGCTGTAAAGAAGAAGGGAAATACTTTTAGGGACCAAAACAGCATTTAGGTATATGTCCTTTCTAATTTTGTGGTTTGTTTGTTTTTTCATTATTCAGGAAGATGGCAATGACAGTCTTTTAAAAATGGAGAGAGAAATTCGTCAGAAAGTGTCAGGAGTTCTTCAGCGAATTATGTTGCTCTTCCGGGCTGCTCATTGTTCTTGCCCTGCAGCACAGTGGTATATTACACAACTGAAGCAGGCAAGAAAAGTTATGCAGAAGGTAAGAATTTTACTGGGTTTTTTTAATAACTTCATATTTAATAACTTTTTAATAACATTCATATTTCATTGTAAATATTACTGACAAGCTTGCAGTTGTATTGCAGAAGCATTCAGTCTCACCTGGGCTTTGATGTCATGTTTTTTTACATGTCATCTAGTTTTACACTCCATGTTCTTTTTTTTTTTTTTTTTTTTTTTAAGGAAACCAGAACTTAAAGATATCAGGTATCTAATTCATAAAGTGTTTCCTTCTGTGTGTCTTTCTATATCTACTTGGTAAAATTCTTTTCTTCTCCATTTGAAAAGAGCAAGCAACCTTTAATTAGGAGTTATAGCTGTTAGCTGGAAGCATGTTCCAGTTCACTTAGGGCTGAATATGTAGCAGAGAAGGTAATGCTCACTTCAGGTAAAGGGGTCACCTTATTGCACAGAATTTATAGGATATCATTCTACTATTGTGCAATTTCTTTGTGCAGAAGCAAGATCGGAATATAGTGGTTAAAATTTTTTGTGTACAGTCAGGTTTTTCTTAGGTAATTTTTACACAGATACTTAAAGAAGGTTGACTTACCCACAGAAGGGAATGTGTGTGACTCAACCTCCTGCACCAGCATTAATGCAGTGATCCAGATCAGGAATGGTATGACTGACAAATAATTCCTTCTCTTTGCTCATTGCATGGTCACGTGCTTAATGCTGGCACAGGTAGGTGATCAGATGTCCCAGCTGAAACTGGAGGGAAAACTAGTCTGCCTTGGCAACAGCAACGTGGACTGTATTGGATTAATCTGGTTTCTTGATTGTGATCTTTGTTGTTCTTATACTTGGTTACTCCTGTGTTTCATGGTAATCATGAGTACTATTCAAACAAAAGCATTTTTGTGCCATAGCTCAGACTAAACATATTTCTGTAAAAGAATTTTCAGAATAGTGATTTAAAGAAAATGGAAAGCAAGCTTAAGGGAATTTACTGTTATTCTGCTAATAACTGAGAGGCTATGCATTTAGCAGTGATACATATAAAATGTCAACTGATTTTTATTTCCATTTTGATTGTTTATTTATTTCTTTATTTTTACTGTCTGTAGATTCGAATGAAAGGATCTCTTCCTTTGCTGAGTCCGTTCCCAGAGACTTTGCTTCGTTACTGCGATTTCTGCACTGTTTTGTGTGGAACTACCTCTTCTGAACCCCATCAGTTTGATGATATTACCTGTAAAATTTTAGGTCTGTATGCAATAACATAGAATAACTTAGAGCTAGAAAAAGAAAACCAGTGAAAATCTGCAGGTGCAAATAAGTTCTTATTAGCATGAAATGGTATATTGCAGTGTGTGCAGAAAGACATTCCTTTTCCAGGTTTTATGGTAGTTGTCGAAACTCTTACTCTGAAATGTGCTCTTCTGGATTTGGGGTGGGGGGAACATGTTACAGACCTGACAGGTGTGAGAGAAAATGAAGTTGGACTAAAGAGTTCTAGCTGCAGAACAATATTGAAAAATCAAGAATGAGTAATTCTTTTTTCTAAAACTACTTTTAGGGTAATGTGAATTACTTTCTTGTAGCTAAAAATTCCAAGCTATTCTATTTAACGTATTTAAATAGCATCTCACCATATTTCATATTTGTGTTGTAGGTGGGTTCAGAGAGTTATGTGCATTATGTTGGATGTTTCATGTTCGTGAAAAATTGTCTGACAACTGTAGGCAGTACCAAGCTGCAAGGGAAAATATTAGCAATATGCAGGTAATTATATTAGTAATACGGTAAAAATACATTTTAGTTGCATGAAGCTATGAGAAGGATTCTAAAGGTCTACTGTATATTTCTGTGAGAACTTCTATTTGCTTAACAGGACAAAATGAGCACAGTGCTACAAGGTGCAGCATGTATGTGATGCTGCAGAATAGTGCTATCCATATGAACTCCATCTTCCTAACAGTATTTTTGTTGGGCTTTTGCTTGGTATTTAACTGAGATAATTGAAGAGATGCTGCCACAAGAGAAATATTTATTACACTTGTTGTCTTCTTAAATATTTACTTCCTGCTTTGGGGTTTTTTTGCCATCAGGTTAAGATATTTTGGGTATTTCCTTACTAATGTATATTTAATACACCAAAAATGGCGTTAAGTATGGTGTTAAATATATGTGGTTTTCAAAAAGAATAATAATCTTAATTGTCCTGATCCCAAGAAAGAATTTGTGATCACCTTAAATCACAGTAAAATTATTTAGTGGTAGTTCAGTATTTTTAGTCTGTTACATATAGTTTAGTCAAACTCTCAAGTTTTACTCTAAATGACTGCAAACAGACTCTTCAGCAGTGTTAATGGAATTATTTCCTAAGGTGGTTTAAAAAAAGCTCTTTTTTCCCATCGTTTTTTTTTTTAATGTACGTTATGATTGACTACAACCTTGATTTGTCTCCTCGCATCATACACTTCTGTGCTTGGCAGTTAAGTTAGAGGTGTTTAATTTTTTATTGGCTAGGGAAGAAACATTACCATTTGCAACATATGAATAATTTTGCCGAAATATATTGTCCATATAAATCAATGTTTCTGGCAATTTTTTTTTTAGGATCTGAAGAGGAATGAACATGATGCCTCCACAGTTGAGCATTGTCTGAATGCAGTGGGATGGGCTTGTCGAATGCTTCCTTTCTGCAGGTTCATGAATGTTGAAGAATTAGTTCAAGATGTAATTTTGAGTCTGCTTGGAGAATTGCCACCAACGAAAAAGGTAGAAGAAATTAAAGCTAGAATAAAAGCAGTAAAAATTATCACAAATGTTTCTTCTCCTTGGAAAAGCTACTAGTCAGGTTTTCTAGTGGTGAAAGTTCTGTGGGAAAAGATACCTTACCTGTATGTTGGCTACTGAAAAAGATGTGGTTTTCTGTGCAGGTGGCAGAGATTTTTGTAAAAGCATTTCCTAATCCTGAAGATATAAGGGTTCCACTAAGAGATAAATATAATGCACTTCAACAGCGACTCAGGCACAGTATTGTTAAAGGTAATGTTCATCCTTCTTCAGGAAATATTAAACAAACTTTCTTTTTTGCCTTACTTATTAACAGGGTATTATTGTGACATAACCTTCTTTCATACGCCATGTAAAACAATTACTGTAGTTTCTAGTTAGACAACTTTGAGTTTTGTGACAAATTGTGTGTTTTCTTTCTGATACGTCTATACCAATTACAGTGTGTCATGACTTTGAAGTTTTTGGTGTTTCTTCACTTTATCTTAGTTTCTTTCTGTATTTCTAAATGGCTATAATTTATTATTTTAATTTAAAGCTAATTCATTTCTCAGTTTGAGAGACTAATTGAAAACTGCAAATTTAAAAATTGGTTTTCTTTCTTTCAGTAGGTCCTGAAAATGAAGAAATTATGTCTGTTATTCAGGCTGCTGAAGAAGCGAGAAAGAAGGCCTTGAAACGTGTAATAAGGAACATAGGCCCTATAGAAATTAATATTTGGGAGCCAGCGGAAGAGGAAGCAGCAGATGATAAGGAACACTGTTATGACAGATTCTCAATAGGCACTAGTCTAAGCACAAGCACACTTACTGATCTTGGGAATCCTCAGGTATACACTGATGCTGACACAGTAGATACACTTTCTGATGCTTTGTGTACTGAAGAAATAAGAGCTCGAACGCCTTCATTTCAAAGGTAGGAAGAAGTTGCAGCAGGAAGATATCAGTTTAAATTGAGAAGTGGGGGCGGGGGGAAGGAAAAAAAATAAGTTGTATCCTGCTGATCAAGTAATCTTTTCACCAAACAGGATAATTGCTACTTCGAGTGATTTAAAGAGTCACAAATTTACCAAATCAGAAAACTGCTAATGTTATATCAGTTAGTAAGTGTCTAATATGTTATTGAAGTGCAAGTTATTACCAGCTATGTCCACATTCTTATATGTTACTGCCTAATTTCTCCCTGTGGAAAATTATGGATTTTGCATTTGATTAATTTACCACCTTAACATTGTATTAATGTCTACTTAAGTTTGTTAGTTTACCCTTTATTAACACTAAAAGAAGAAAAGAAAGTTATGTTACATTTAGTTATTTTTTCATGTAATTCTTCTTAAAATGGATTTTGGTGTTAACAGTTCTTATGTTTATTGCCTTACAGAAATAATGAACACCAGAGAAAAGGAGAAATAGGTAGCAAAAATAGCACATGCAAGATAAAAGCTCTTAACTGGAAAACAATACATAAAGACAAAGTATACAGAAGAGACATGCATAATCAATGTAATTTGCCTGTAGTTGGTGCATGGGAATTTGAACGTGATGATGATGAATATGTTAGGTTTTTAGAACTCTTTTTGAGTTATGTTCTTGAGAGAGACCTGATAAAGTACAGTGACATTGGAATTCCATTTCTTACTAGTTTTTCTGGACTTCTTCGAGAGCATGAATTGAACTCTCTCTTTTTTGATGTCCACACAACACTAAAACGTCGACAAGGCAAAAGTAGAAGTCAAAGTGTGTTTAGAGCTGGGTCTTGCTATACTGTCACCCTGTCACCTTGTGACCCTGAAACATCTGTCTATAACAAAACCCAAAATATTTTGGAAAAACCAACAGTTGTGCAGTCCGTTGTACAGACAAAAGAACCTTCTGTGCATAACCTAATGAAAGGACTTAACAAAGGATTATTTGGTTTAAAACACAAATTGATTTACAGAGCTCACACTCATAATCAAGAAGTCACTGTTGCACTAGCAAGCCAGACCTTTCCTTGCCATACTTCGTCTACCCTGCAAACTCAGGCAACTTCTAAATACATTTACAAAACTGTTGATGTAGTTGATACTGTACCAGGAGAAGAACTAATGATAGAATTGATGGACAAGTTGAGCAATATTGCAAAATTGCTTGAGTGGATGATCAGATGGTCTGACAAAAGACTGCTTTGTGGTTCCAATAAACAAGATTCCTTAGAAGAGATTCTTCCAATGATACACGTGAAAACATCAGCAGCTGCTGTCCTTACTTCTCTATGGCTGTTAGAACAGTTATACAGAGAGAGATCTCAAACAAAGAGCATAAAATATAAGGTAAGAAAAATTAATGGGATAAGTGTCAATGAAATGTGAGTGAATTATGCCAGTAAAGAAAATCACACATTTTACCTCATTTTTCTGTTTTCAATAAAACCTGGAATACTAATTAATAACCTTTCCTTTAGGAGTTGCTAGGAAAAGAGAGAAACATTCCAGAAATACTGGAATTCTGTCTGTAGAAATACTTGGGTTGGAGGTGAAAGTTCTCTTTGGAAACCCTGTTCAAAATCTAGCTCCTCTATCCAGATAGCACATTATTTGTGCAAATTCCTGTAAGTGTGACCATTGTGTCTAGTTTTAGAAATCATCTTTGAAGAAACCTAGTACTGGAGATAGAATATGGCAAAGCAAGACAAAGAGCAAAATTTCTCTGGGAAGACTTGAGTTAAGGTTCATTTGTCTTTGATGACAGTGCAGATATATTTTGACTGGAGTATTTAAACTAGTTAAAGATCAGCAAAAAGTGACTAGCATTGTTATATAGAGTTGGAGTATATGTGTGGACATGAAAGAAGAGATTTGCCAGAAGAACCTGATGAGTATTGCTTTAGTTTGTATTTTAGGGACAACTGGATCACTTAGCTTCTTTTAATTAACTCTACATAGAATCACGGAATTCATGTTTTGAGGGGAGAGGTTTGTGGGATTTTTGTGAGAAGGTTTTTCTCCCATACCAAGAGATATTTTTTTTTCTTGGTTTTGGTTTGTATTTTTGTTTTTTGGACAAGTGCCACCTGTATTTTATTTACAACTTACTGCCAAAATTTTGTGCATGCATCTAACTGCAAGATTATGTGTGGCTTTTTGCCTTTCATGCTGTTTTCAGTGATAATTTCAGAGATCTGTATTACATGTGATGAAGGCCAAACCTTATTGTATATACTTGTTTCGATTCTAGTGTCACATAGTGGCTTTGACAATTGACACTCAATTGACACTGATAAATATTTCCTATGTTTCCTTTGGATAATTCAGAGCATCGTTGCTTCACTTAATGCAAAAAGGTGCAAAACTCAGGTTCCACAGGCACCTATAAATCCAGGTTTCCTCAGCTCTAAAAGAAAAAAATATGAGTTAAGCATAATCGTTCTATATGAAATCACTGTGGGTTTTTAAATAGTATCAGGTATCTTTTTTTTTTTTATTTTAAACTAGTGAATTTTGATTATCATTATTTCTTTTAATAGCATCCAGATAACCGAGATGTGAAAGAATTTGTATCTCTATCAGAAGCCCAGTCTAGGACAGAGAAAGAAAGTAGTACAGATGAAAGCTTTTCCACAGCGGCCAATCCTCCTGCCAGTCTCCAGAATGCGCCAGCCTACGATGACTTTTGTAGAACTGATTTTAGGTAATTTTTTTTTTTTAACTTAAAAACTCTAGTTGGTCATAATTCCTCTGCTAAGCAGCCTGTCACTATGAAGAGTTCTGCTGTTATTATGTGTTACATATACATGTTTAATTTTGAGTGCAAAGTCAAACTCGTGCCTATTGTTTACAGCTGCATGAAGCAGATTGAATATTCTCCATCAGCAGATGTATATCTAGGTAGAAAACAATGTAGCTGTTGCATAGTAAGTGACTTGTACATGGTTGTTTATAAACTTAGTGATGTGGAAATAGATTCTAGATTTCTGATGAAATGGATATCATGGTTTTCTCAAAGAATTCAGATAATTTCCACTCTCTTTAGGTAGTTTTCCTTGAGTTACAACGTGTACCTGAACTCCTTTGTGGCATTTCATCTTCTATTGCACTAAAGAAAAAAATACATGTCTAGTATTAGAAGAGATAGATAGATAGATAGATAGATAAAGATCTTTAGTATTCTGAAAATAATCTTTAGTATTTTGAGACAATCTTGTGTGTCTTGTCTGACAATTTGGGTTTTTTTATAAAGGAAATTTCTATGTGGGAGATAAATGTAAACCTTAACTAGATGATTTTGAAGCCATAGCACTTGTCTTCCATTTTTGATAGATCATGTGTGTTGGTTACATTTTTCTGGAAACAGCTCACCTGAAAGAGTGTACCATTAATGACGCTAAAATATCACATCTATACAAAAAAATTATTAAGCTTGGTTTAAATGAAAGTCAGATAGAAAACTTATATAAACATGGATTATATCACAACAGTGTTTATTTTTACAATTATGCACTAGCCTGCAATCAGAAAGAAACAGCATACTTGAACTAAGCTAGATACCTAGATACCTGTTGTTAATTGCCTTTTGTAATTCCAATTACCAGAGTGTCTACAAAGTCAAAATACTTTGATAAGAAGGAAATTATTCATGGAAATTATTCTGTACCATGTACGACTGAAGATCCTAATGAAGTAGAACCGCTTGTTCAGCAGGAATTAGATATGGTGTCGGAACAACAAGGTTTGTTTTAATGGTATATCCTTTTACTATGGTCTCATGTATCAAACAGTAGGAGTTTTGCATGAATATGATTATATGTCTCTCTGTTTAATCAAAAAATGAAAATAGGTTTTCATTGTGCTATTGAAAATATTTTATCCAGTTTACATTATGACTAATTTTATACAGTTGCTTTATCGAGACTTATTGATCAGTTTTTCACTTACGTAACTTTTTACTACAGAGATAAAACAGTGTGTATTAGCATGTTCTGTTCCCTCATATACTTTTATTCCAGAAATATTCATGCAACTGTGCAAAACAACATGAAAATTGTAAGAGCTGACTATCCATGATTTAAGTTTATCGTACTCATACCATTTAAATAACCTGCTTTTTTTTTTTCTCTCTCTTCAGGTGCATGCATCATCACTAGTAGTAAAACAAATCTTGAATTTGCTGAGACCTCTCTGAACACTTTACTCCTCGCTAGGGAAAAAGTGGACTAATGTGACCTGCTGTCAGAAATCACATAACAGTGCTGTAACCCATGTAGTTTTCTGATTTAGAGTAATTGTGTTTATTTTGTAGAGTTCTTTGAGGAGCCATATGAAACTCCAAAGAGCTCCAACAGCTCTGTCAAGATCAAACCTGTAGAACATCCTAGAGAAAAGGCAAGTTACTGTAGAATCGTCAAAGGTTTGGATTGGAAGGGACTTTAAAGATCATCTCATTCCAACCGCCCTGCCATGGCCTTGAACACTTTTCATGGATCCACAACTTCTCTGAGTAACCTATTACAGTGCCTCACTTCCCTCACAGAATTTCTTCCTAATATCTGAACTAACCCATCCTTTTTCAGTTTGAAGTAATTCCCTCCTCTCCTGTCACTATATGCCCTTGTCAAGGGTTTGTCTCCAGCTTTCCTGTAAGTTCCTTTAAGTACTGAAAGACTGATCTAAGGTCTCCCCAGAGCCTTGTCTTTTCCAGGCTGAACAACCCAAATCTCAACCTTTCCTTATAAAAGAGGTGCTCCAGCCCCCTGAGCATCTTTGAGGCCTCCTCTGGACCTGCTTCAGCAGGTCCATGTTCTTCTTATGTTGGGGATCACAGAGCTGAACACAATGCTCCAGGTGAGTCTCATGAGGACAGAGTAGACCTCCCTCCACCTGCTGGCCATGCTCCTTTGGATACAGCCCAGGATACAATTCATTTTCTGGGCTGCAGGCACACATTGCAAGCTCACGTTGGACTTTTCATCAACCATCACCCCCAAGTCCTTCTCTTCAGGGCTGCTGTCAATCCATTCTTTGCCCAGCCTGTACTTTTGCTTGGGATTGCCCCAACCCATGTGCAGGACTTTTTGAACTTCATGAGGTTTGCACAGGTCCATCTCTCAAGCCTGTCACGATCCCTCTGGATGACATCCTTTCCCTCCAGTGTCCTGACCACACCACACAGCTTGGTGTCACCAGCAAACCTGTAGAGGGTGCCCTTGATCCCACTGTCCATGTCACCAACGAAGATGTTAAACAATGCTGGCCCCAGTACTGACCCCTGAGGAACCACTTGTCACTGGTCTCCACTTGGACATTGAGCCATTGACCACAACTCTGAGTGTGGCCATCCTGCCACTTCCTTATCCACCAAGTGGTCCATCCCCCAAATCCACAACTCTTTAGTTTAAAGGCAGGAATGTTGTGCAGGACAGTGTCAAATGCTTTGCAGAAGTCCACGTAGATGACATCTGTTGCTCTTCTCTCATCCACCAACACTGTAACTCCATCATAGAAGGCCACCAAGTTTGTCAGGCACAGTTTGCCCTTAGTGAAGCCACTTTGACTGTTACCATTACTTCCTTATTTTCCATGTGCCTTAGCACATTTTCCAGGGGGATCTGCTCCATGATCTTGACAGGTACTGAGGTGAGACTGACTGGCCTGGAGTTCGCCAGGTCTTCCTTATTTTCCTCTTTAAAAACATGGGGGTTATGTTTCCTCTTTTCCAGTCAGTGGGAACTTTACTGAACTGCCATGACTTCTCAAATTAGTGGCTTAGACACTTCATCTGCCAGTTCTCTCAGGACCTGTCGACCAATTCCATCAGGCCCCATGGACTTGTGCACCTTTTGGTTCCTTAAATGTTCCTGGTCTTCTACAACGGGAGGTTCTTAATTCTCCCATCCCTGCCTTTTCCTTCTGTGACTCAGGCAGTGGGGCTGGAACACTTGCCTGTGAAGACTGAGGCAAAAAAGTCATCGAATACCTCAGCCTTCTCCATGTCCCAGGTTACCAGACCTCTTATTTCCTTATGGAGAGGGCCTACATTTTCTCTAGTCTTCCTCCTGTTTCCCTTGATGATCCTGGCCGATTTAATTCTATCAGAGCTTTCCTAAACTGTTCTCTGGCTGCTTTGACAGTCTCTCAGATATCCTTACTGTGTCCTGGCTTCCACCCTCTGTAGGTTTCTTTTCTGAGTTTGACGTTATCCAGGAGTACCTTGTTCATCCATGCAGGCCTCCTGGGGTTTTCTCCCAGCTTCCTCTTTGTTGGAAGGCATCACTCCTGAGGTTGCAGGAGGCAATTCTTGAATATTAACCAGCTTTCTTGAGCCCCTCTTCCCTCCAGGGCACTATACCTCTATTAAGCAGATCACTGAAGAGGCCAAAGTCTGCTCTCCTGAAGTCCAGGGCAGTGAGCTTGATGTGCACTCTCCTCACTGCCCTGAGGATCTGAAACTCCACTATTTAATGGTCACTGCAGCCAATGCTGCCCTTGAGTTTCACATTCCCCACCTTATTTCTGACAACAAGGTCCCCCATAGTACCTGTTCTCGTTGGCTAATCTGTCATACGGAGAAGGAAATTATCATCAAAGCATTTCAAAACCTCGTGTGTTGTTCCTCCAACAGATAGCAGGGTGGTTGAAAGTCCTTGAAGACCAGGGCTTGTGACATGAGGCTGCTCCTATCTGCATGCAGTGGGCCTCATCTGCTCCATCTTCCTGGTCAAGCAGCCTGTGGCAGACCCCCACTGTAATGTCACCTGTCCCTGTCCTCCCTGTAATCCGGAGCCATGAGCTCTTGATCAAATCCTCATCCATCCCCAGGCAGAGCTCTATGCACCCCAGCTGGTCACTGACATAGAAGGTGATACCACCTCCTCATCTCCTCTGCCTGTGCTTTCTAAAGAGCCTGTATCTGTTCATTCCAACACTCCAGTCGTTAGAGCCATCCTCCCACATCTCCATAGTGCCAGTAAGATCGTACCCTGCAGACGGGCACGTCTCTAATTCATTTATTCCCCATGCTGTATGTGTCTGCATAGGGGTATTTAAACTGATGAATCTGACTTAGTGGTGGGCGTAGCTGTAATTCCTTTGTGCTGCTCTTCAGGTGCTCTGTTGACCTGCAATTCCTCTCCAGGCTCTGGGCATCTCTTACTGGCCTTGGCATAAAACAGCCCCTCCCCTGGCAACTTGAGTTTAAAAGCCCTCTTCCCCTCTTGCCAAGCCTAGGACTGATGATGCTCTTCCCCTTCTTTGATAGGTGGACCCCTTCAGCCCCCAGCAGAGCAGGTTTCTCAATGTGAGTCCTATGGTTGAAGAAGCTAAATCCTTGGCTGTGGCACCAGTCAAGGCTGACTGCTTGATTCACCAGATTCAACTGACCCTTTCAAATTCTTTCCCTTTGACTGGGAAAGGAATTGACTCTGCTCTTAAGAGCCACTCACTGCTGCTCTCAGTGAGCACATTGGGCTGCCTTACTCAGCTCCAGCCTCTCTCCTGATCTGATAGGATCTTATGTGGAAGCATCAAATTGTTATGAATACTCTTTTCAAAATATCCTGAATTCATCATTGTATTTGTGAAGTTGAGGGCTTAAAATGTTTAGGATTGGTGAATCTTTTTCCTTGCTTAAGAATAAATGTCATGATTATAGGGTAGTAAGGTGAGATCTGCTCTGAGCACTTTTGAAAACGGATTAATTTTTCATAAAATTAAATGTGTGTATACCTATATATGTACCTATGGAAGATATAATTATATATACATAAAATTACATTAAAAATTAAATAGATCAAGAAGTTTATTTTGCTTCTGTGTGAAAACTCAGTCTGGATCTGTAAATGAGCCTTCTTTTTCCATGCATTGTTTTTGGTCATAAGTATCCTGTCTCCGAAATTGACTAAGGGCTGTTATGCTGAAAAGTGAATTGCAATGCCACCAGTTTACTTGCCTGTAGTACTCAAGATTCAGTGCTGTTAATGGGATTGGAAACAATAAATGTATTGTGGTCTTCAATTCTGCAGTGCACTTTACTGTAGTGAATCTGTGGCATGTGTAAAATCCTGCATTTGTTTCAACTTCTTAGTTTGCAGATAGTTTGTGTATAATAGGATTGTTTCCACATTTTCATCTTTACTCAAGGGGGGGTGAGATTAGCAGAATATATATGCAGGGTACTATATGGATATGAATTTGAAACTAAAAACTCATAATAATGACTTAAAAAGCAAGATACCCAGGTGAATTGTCAAGATATCTCCTTATTTCTGATCTGTAGCTGTTCTCTGATAAGTATGTAATTTTGATTACTTTTTGTCTGATTTTTTCAAGTGGATGATTAATCATAAGTACATTTGCCATAGGCTAAAAAAAAAAGTACTTTATTAAAGCAGAAGGAATAGAAAAATTTAAAGTTTGGATGCATCTTTTTATGTTCCAGGAGGTCTCCATTTCAGATGTAGATAGTCCACAAGAAGATCAGAATGTGGAGGAAACAAAGGAAGAAAAGGCTGAACAGAATGTGTAAGAGACTTTTTGTTATTTGTTTCGGGTTTTTTTAATTCCCCTTTTATCTTTGCTTAAAAATCCAAGGTATTTTTGTTAATAATGGCATCCATTGAAGTCTGCTGGGTTCGTGCTGTTGTTTATAGCAACAAACTCCTAGTTTCAAACAGGCATTTCACAAATACAAAGTGCAGAGTGGATGAGTCTTTATTTTAGTAATGATATAATGAAAGAAGTGTGGGTTGTGGGAAGGTGTATTTTACGTCTGAGAAAAGGACAGACAATAACTTGAAAAGCTTTCAGATACACAGTTCCAGACCTGAAATAGGAGCAGCATCAGACAAAATTCAGGTGAAGAGCTCTCGAGGAAATTATGACAATTAATTTGTTACAAAACGTAGAAGTTGTTGTTGATGAAGCCAAAGGTGAGACAAAAGTGATGATAAGCGTGTTAGCTCCTGAAAGAGGAAGGAAGGCATTTTACACAACTTAAGAAATTTCCTTCACTAAGATCTTTTTAAAATTTAATGTTTTAAAATCTCTGTACGTTTATAATAAAATATATGTATAAAGTTGAAGAAACAATTCATAAACCTGGTTGTTTGAATAGATGACTGCTGAGTTTGATTTCTCTGGAAGTTTGCAAGGGAAGAAACTCTGTATTCTGTAAACACAACATTCCTTGTGTTTACCACAAGGAATCTCGCTCTTTTGAGATATTTTCATTTGTTTTAATGACAAAAAAGAATCAGCTTATTTTTAGTATATTTCAATTAGCTTTCTTTTAAGCGGCTTAATTTCAGAAGGACTTAGAATGCTCTGCTATTTTAAAATTACATATTTTTGTTTTAACTGCACGCAAGAGGCTGTTAAAAGAATTTATTATGGCATTTTTTTTCTATTTTTAGAAGTGCAGATTACAGTGATATTTACAGAATTGCTTAAATTAGATTTTGTGTTCCTTTGTCCACTGGAATCAACCTCTTTTTTGCCTGCTGCTTGTGTTGAATAGCCAGAACCTTTTCAGTGCTTTTGTTTGAGTCAGTTTCTGATTGCTAGGAAGACAAAGCATGAATGTCAATATTTGCCAGCTCAGGTTGCAGTGTAATGCAGTAATTGAAGCCATGGAGATCAGTATAGCTCTGATCAGGTGGCTTTCAGGTATTTCATCTCATACTAATTAAAATACGTTTTTGAGAGGTTATGCATACACTTATATACACATAGTTATATAAAGTGAAAATAAACAGCAAAACAAATTATTGTGGTATTTACAATACTATTATTTTCTTTCTTTATAGTATGACTGAGGTTGTTACTAGCACTGATTCTCATTCATTCTCTTTAAAACAAGATGCAGAAGTTCCTAGGTAAGAGAAACCTACACTGTTATAAAAAATACATTATCCCTTAAATTTTTAGTCTGAAGTAATGTGATGTGTACATTTGCTTACAAAATATTTGCAAGTAAAATGTACCTCCAAACTAAGTAACTTTTCCTGAAACCTATTTGTAGTCTAATCCCCGAGGATCAAAACACTTGCATCTTGACCAGGCTTCACAAGAATCAAACATGTCATTTGAGCTACTAGATTTCAAGAGACATAATAGTTTTGTTTTCTGGTTCCAGACAGAAGCATTATACAATATTACTATAGAAGATATATTGTTACATAAATCACCTGAACAATAATATTTTAAACTTATATTTACATTGTTATTAAATTATTAAAAGGTATATGTCCTACAGCATCTGATAGATTCACATAAATATATAGATAATATTTCTGTAAACAGGGAGAAGGTTGGAATTGAGAAAAGGGGTCAGGAGTCAGTCTCAGACCTTCAGTTCTAGAGCAGTCCTCTATGAGATTTTTTTCAGGTTAGAGGAAGATAAGAACTACACATCCCTTTGGATTCCATTTCCATATGTCTCTAATCTCTTTTTCTTCTCAAGCTTTTCATGCCAACTTCTTTTAAAAAAACTTTACTCAAACTTTCGGGGTTTCAGGCCATGCTTCAGGCACATTCCAATTGTCTTCCAAAAGGTTTTCTATGCCACTTCACATTTATTACATATCCAAAACCTTTTCAGTATTACTCATTAGACATTGCTTTATGCTTCTGTTTCTTCACATGCGTGGAGGCCATTCTGTACAACTGTGAAAAATCCTCCAAATGTTGTCTGTACCCATAGCATTATCAGCATTTTTCTTAAACAGAGAAAGGTGTTTTGGTGTTTTGAGTCAATGTTGATGTAGGTAAAGTCTTTCAGGGTTTTTTATAGCTTAATGGAAATCCCAACCCTTTTTTCTTCATGTGAGGAATCCACCTACTTGATATTCTTTACCTACTAAAAGATTTTATTATCTCAATGAGAAAATTTAATGTATTGTATTATCTGGCATGTTATTTTAATTTTAAATGTGTTTTTTAATCTGAAATCTTATTGTTGCTTTTTAAGTCCTTCCTCATTTTCTATCAGTGGTTTGGCTTTATGACTAACCAGGCCTTTTTTTTTGTCCTTTCTGTGAAATCGTTTTTTTCGTCTTGTTTCTCTAATGAAAATATTTCAGATATGCTTGTGGGTACAAAATCATATAGAACTTAGAGAAGCATTGGGAAAGTTGTCATACATAGTCTCTGGTGAAGATTTTGCAGTGTTAATTAATAAATTGTTCCTACAAATTAATTATGTTTTTAGAAAACGGATGCCTTTACATTTTTTCCGGATTTATTTAAGACAACCTTATATAGATGTTTTGAACTATGAATGTTTTTCATAGTTTTGTTCTTTTCCTTTTGAAGTAATGCAGGCATTTCTGTAAGTGATTGCCAGCCTTTTCATACTGTTGTGTCAACTACGTCAAGTGTTGCCTCCCACACTTCTGTTTGTGCAAAGAAGCGAGAAGTCAAGGAAGAAGTCCCTCCAGAGGAGAAATCAAACACATCAGAAACTGTCAGGCATATGCTCCAAGACGAAATGTTTAAGTTAATTCAGGTGAGAGCATCTCATTTTTTAAAATAATTTTCACAGTACAAGCTGTGTTATTGAAAACAACAGACGTAATTATTGTTTTAGATGCATTCTCTGTGTGTGGTTGTTTTTGAAAGAGATTTCCAGTTCCATGTTAAGCACTGTTAAAAGTTATTTTAGACTTAACTCTTGGTTTTGACTCAAGAAAATGAGTTATGTGATAATAGAAGTTATTTTAGTTATGAGTGTATTTTAGTTTACATAAATCAGTGTGCTCTAGTGCTATACATAAGGAAAAATTCTGGTGCTGTAACAGCTTTGCAGCTATACTAGGATTTAAGGTGTATTAGTACATTGAGCCAATTTTAAGTGACCTTACATTTACTAAAACTTCACAAAAAAGTGAAGGAATTTGTCTTGCTTTAGCATAACCTGACTGTCGCAGGTATTTATTGTATCTTAAAAGAAAGTCCAGTACAATAAACAATTATGTGAATTAAATTTTCAATTATACAAATTGAAACTTTGTGATGTTGTTTATTTTGACACCTGTTTTTACAGGATAATGAACAGCAATAACATAGTCTAGACATAGAATTTTTGCTAAGATTCCTGTTAAAGTTGTTAACAGTGTTAATTTTGTGTGTTTTCAGCTACAGCAGATCAACTTCATGAGTTTAATGCAAATGGTGCAGTCATCCTTTGGCAACATACCAAATGTGCAACAAATGTTGCAGCAGCATCAATCTGTTCACCTGGCTGGGAGCCAGCATGCACACACTGCCCAAGGCAATGGTTCTCCAAAAACACAGCTGCCCTCTCCAGAAAATAAAGGAAAACCTGGTCAAAAGAGCTCTGATTTTCATCAAAGGAATAGCGTAGAAGATGAAGGCAACAGTGGCCATGTAGAAGTATGTATATCAAAGTGTTGTTTATGAAGATAGTTCAGTATATCTGATATGTTATCTATCCTGTTGAATTAGGAAATATGTTTGTAGTGATTGGTGTAGACAAAACTATTTTTGTGCATATTTAGTGCATGGTTCCTATGTAAATGCTGGATTGTTTGCTTTTGTGATTTAGAGTCATCTGGATGTGAATGCCTCTTTAATTCTACTTGAAAGCAACAGCAAGGAAACAGGATTTATGTCACCATCCCAATATCAGCGTTCTTCAGGGCCTACTAAACCACTTCATCTCCTAGCTCCTTCCTCAAACATCCAGAAAACAGTGGGGTTTATTCCTATTGAAAAGAAAACAAGTTACTCAAGTGGATTTCCTTTGCTTAGGCTCGAATCAAGTTATTTCAAACCAGCATTTTTCCATCCAGTAGAAATGTCATCAGCTTCTGCCAGACCACCCCCAGTACCACGAGCAGCTTGGAGTTCATCAGATTCCTTATGGAACCATCAGTCATCATACACGCTAAGAAAGAGTAAGGCAAAAGAAGATTTCAGCAGGAGTAGATACGACCCTGAGATCCCAAGGCAAATGCACGAGGAAGAGAGGAGATGGGCAGAAAGAGTGCATAGGGGGCCTCCCAAACACCTGAACCTTGATCAATATGTAGGGCAGCAAGAAGTTTCACCTCAGCAGCAGTTCCTTGCAGATGTGAATATGTACAGAGCACCGATCACTCAGAACCCGGCTGGTATTCCACTGTTGCACTTGCATCTTAACGCCGTACCCAGAGTTCCACCAGCTGTAAAGCAACCAATCACTACTACTTTAATACCTGTTAAACGTGCAACAAAGGATACTGACTCCAGAGAAATACTACAGGATGCAGGAATATCACTACTTCAGGTTAATTTACCTCAAAAAAGGAAGGTACTGGATTTTAATAATACTTTTTTCTAAGTTGTAGTGGTTTTGCCATTTCATAATTTCTTATTCATCACAAATAAATTCATGTTTCCAGACTATGGAGTTTCAAGTGCTCAGCACAGCTACCAGGAGCAATCTAGAACTAGAGGTACCAGTTTATCTGCATGTCAATATGAGGCTGCAAGCCTGAAAGTGTTTTTAATGGCGTTAGATTGATTCCATGTTCCACAGTTCGTCACCATTCAGACCATTAGTAATGAATGCAAAGAATTTACTATCTAAAGTATTGGATAATATTTTATGGTAATGAGCAGTACTGTTTTTTTTTCAGAAATGGTAATAGAATTATTTACAGAAATAGAATGCAGTGATAAATCCTCTTTTGTAGTGCAGAAATAGGATGCTAAAAGGCTGAGTAAGAAAACCTTATCTTATGGATGCTGAGAACTTGATGTTTTGAAAAATGTTGTTTCTATTACACTCTTATAAGCTTGCACATTCCAGTTGAAAAGAGTGGAAATGTTTTTTCTTGAAAGGTATTTCTTCAGTCCTTGTCTACATTGCACCGTTCCTACCTTCATCCTGAACTACATGGATAGGAAATGCAAGTATTAGTGAAATATGTTCTGTGGAGAAAATTCCCATCTTTTAGTTTACTTTAAGAAAATAATTTACACATGTACATACTGGCAGAGGTCCTGGCCTGAGGCTGTTAATATTACATTTCCATTTTCTTTACAAATTGCTACAGGAGTTTTGTTTGTATAACCGAGATCCAAACTGGACCTACTTTTTTCATCCAATCTGATGGGTTCCCCTTTCTCTTTCTTCTCTTTTCTCTCTCTCTCTCTGAACCCTTTCAGGCACCAAAACTCATCCCATTTCAAGATCTCATTGCGTTTGAGCAACACCATCAGCATAATTCTGTGCTCAGCACTTCCTATGGACAAGACCAAACTGAACCTATCCAGTTACTAAAAACTAGTGTTGAACCATTTGAACTGAGAGATGTGCAGAAAAATAGAAAAAGGCAAGCCAGACTTTTAAAGTGGGAACTTCATTTTGAAAAACTAGCTGGTAACTTGTACCTTCTAGCTTTGAGATCAGAGGGATTGGATGTAATTCTCTTGGCTGAGAATAAAATACTGAATGTTAGTAAAAACACAGCAGAAGTATATCATTAAGGCACGAAGGGGTTTTTGCTGTTAGCAGACTGATAAGAAGAAGAGTCAAGGGGGAATTCTTACCATATTGCTATTTGTGTTTTAAAGTCTTGTTGTTACCTGACTGTTTGCTGTATACTGTTTATGAAATGCTTTGCAGTTACACACAATGAATCTTAATAGGCTGCTGTCTGTGCTGTATATTGTCACTGTTAGTAGTAATCTTCAGGAAAAAGAGGGTTACACTCTTTCGGTATAGTTCAATATTTAGGCTGGTTTTTAATACAGACAGTGATTAATTAGCAAAATTCCTGCTGAAGCAGTATTTTCTTTGTTAAGTATCTTATTATTTATGAAATTTGATTTATTTGTTGTTAATTGATTGCACAAGCAGTTAAAACAGTTTGTTTAAGCTACTTATATATCCTTGTTCAGTTCTCATAGAATGTTGGTAGAATGTTCTAGAATAGAACACTTGCTTTCTTCTGATTAGTTGTCTTATAATCTACTTATCACATATCGCAGAAGAATTGCAACTTTTTTATAAAATAATTAGAAAGCTTCTGTGATAACTGAAGTTTGTCTCACAGATTCTTTACAGGTATTTTGCAGAGTAATTATTAATTATACACAAAACATAGATGTGGATTGTTATGTAGTTTGTAATATTTAGTAAAAATAGCTTATTAGTCAATTAACAGATTTTAGTGTGATTGTTAATATTTTTATGAGTTGCTACAACAATTTTGTGTAGATTTCAGATCGGCAAGAATAGTGCTTTGAACTGATCTGTATGCAACAGTTCTGTTTATCTTTTCCATCTTTAATTCAGTGCACATCTTATTCTTTATCTGTAATTAACATGTTGACAGAAGAAAAAAGCGTAACAAGAAACAACTACAAGAGAAGGAGGAGAAGAAGAAACCAACTGTGTCCTTCTGCCCAGAGGCTTCCATCATCACTATTAGTGACACAGAAATGGTTGACGAATCAGAGACTGAGGTATAGAATAATATTTCTTTCTTTGCTTTTTTCCATTCAAGTATTAACAGAAATGAAAGAAGTGGAAAACTATAAACCAAAACAATAATGTACATCACTTTTAGGCTCTAGCCTAGAAACGGTATATATATATTTAATTCACAGACTTGCATTTTCTGTAAACAGTAGATTTATTTTTATGAAGTATTCTAAGATTGCTATTGTTTTTCCTGGAACATGAACTTGTCTGTTTTGATAGGATGTAAGTCTGTATGAACATTTATAATAAAAACATACAGAAATGTTAAAAAAAAATTACATTTAGCCTAGGACAAATGACCCAGGCATTTGTCATTTCACAAATGACAAATGACCCAGGCATTACTCTTTTCATGTGGGGCTATATGGATGACAGTGTAAAAGTAGGAATGGGAAGTATGAGATCTCAGTTCTGTCACAAACCAGAAACTGAGAAAATAAAGTCTTTATCAGGGTGGGTTTTGATTTATATACTTGTACTTTTCATTTGCCAGGGCCTTTTTGATACCTTTTGGGGATTATCCTTGCAAGTACCAGATTGCAAGCTAGAACACCACCAGATTTAAAGCTGGAACACTACTCAGAGCAGCAGACTCTGTTTCTGGTCCATACCACACTTTTGAGACTTCACTCCAGCACAGCAGCTGGAGACCCTCTCCAGACCAGGGAGATATTACTTAGGGTACAGCAGATATAGCATATACTCAAAGAGGAATAAAGAATTTGTGTTACTACAGATCACCCTGAGGTACATATGAGGTTGTCACATAGCCAGTAATTCCACTGAGCTGAAATAGATCGGAAGAATTTAAAAAAGGAGTAAGAAAACAAAATTACAATGGTTTTTTTCCCCCAGTTATTACTCACACAAGGTATATTGGATAGTTAAACAGCATCAAAAAAGCCTTTAATCTGCATTGGAACTGTTTTTAAAGATGATTCCTTTTTTCCTTATATTAGGATCACAAAACAGAATCGGCATCTTACCCTCAAGATGGTTTGTTTGTTTCAATGGGCAAGTACAAGTCTTTTTAGTGCTTTGAGTGCTTAAATAACCAGAAAACCAAGGACCATAAGTTTGTTAGATTTCAAATGAAAACTCTGTGGTCATCAAGATGTTAAAAACTTGGATCATGTAGTCTGTGGGCAATACAGCTTAATGGCTTATGGTATCTTTCCCCAGACCTTTCAGGATGGACAACAGGTTTCCAAACTTTTTTAGGCATAGTGAGTTTTTAGGGGATTGGTGTGGAGAGACATGCAGGCAAATTTAAGGTCTTATATAAATTATCTGAAGACTCAGAATAGTTCTGAAAATTACAGAAGTATTTTAATTTTTTTCATAATGAGTGATAGTCTTGTGTTTTTATGGTTAAAAACAATTGAGTTAGTGAAATAACAACATAAGTATGTTGAATGAATTTCAGTAACTATGGTTTCATTATAACTATGGTTATGGTAACTATTACTTCCATTAACTATGGTTCTTGGTCATTTCTGTTCATGTGATTTATCAAAATAATGCTGTGAACAATGCTTTTTAATATTAAATTGTTTTCTTATTACAAAACAGATCTTACTCCAATTTTATTTGCCTGCATAGTCTAACTACACAGAACTTAAGACTCTTTTAAAAGAGATTCAATGTTTACAATGCTTATAGCTTGCAACATTAAGACCATGCCTGTGGAAAGATTTGCTTCTTTCTAGTATTCAGCACAATATTCAGTCTTATCAGAGGACAAAATACAATCTATTCTCTAAATAATGGCTTGCAAACCTCTGTAAAACATCAATAAAGAAATTAAGGTATACACATCATAAATGCTTCCCCCCCCTTTTGGACTGTGAAGCAGACTTTTATGGTACAGCATACTAAAATACTGAATTTAAAAATCATATACCTAAACTGAACCTTGATTTTAATTCAGTGTAACATTGTAAGTCTCAATACAGTTGCATATTCACATCAAGTAGGTAGCATGAACTTTTCTGGGAATCATTCATGACATATGCTTAGAGAAAAGTTAAAAATATCTGTCAGGAATACAAAGAAAAAACTGTTCGAATCCATAGTTTTGAGTTAGTATCATTGCTTTCCAGGATGTCTAATTCTTGTGTTATTTGTAGACACCCGTTCTGCATTATTACATTTCAGACACAGTGGAGGAAGCAATTACTACTTCAGCAGATCTGCATTACATGGCTTCTGTAGGGAAAAAACCAGCAGAAACTCAAGATGCAAGTACAAATACTCATCCAAGTAAGTGCTATCTGTATGACTTACAGAAACCAGCTGCTTCTGGTGTTGCTTCTTTCTAGTTATTTTGTCAGTTTTCAAAATGCAATAAGATTGTAAAGGGAAAAACAGTTTTTTGTGCTCCGATTTTTTTGTTTCAAAAAGAATTAAACCAGAAGCCATTAGAATATAAATTACAAAGCAGTAGTTAAAATAATTATAATTAAAAATATCACTGATGCAATTATGTAAGTGTCCACATGCTTTTCGTAAATCAGTTCTGATGTGACTTTTTCTGAAATCTTCTAACTTCATTTGTGTTTATCTAAATGCTTTTTAGACAGTGTTTCACCCTGTGACTGAAATTGTTTCCCTGCCTCATCCACCACAACTTTTCCTTGATTGTGAGCTGTCAAATTAGAAATGTGCATTCAGATAATGCCATCAGTATCGTTACTTTCCTTACATTCATGCATTTTGATCTTGGTTGTTTTTTTTTCCCAATCAAGTGCTCGAGTCGTATCAGGATCATGGAATCAGTGGTGGAAATGAGATTTCCGAAGTTCAAAAAAATGAGCCAGCCCAATCTGTTCCTGTGCCAGGTGTGGCTCCAGGCTCTCTCTACTTCATTTGTTGTTTGGGAAGTCTATAACAATATAGCAATTTTAACATGGGTTTTGTACATGGGGTAGCTTAATGCAGGGCATAGATAACATGGTAATTCATCTGATTTCTTGAAACCCAATACTAAATAGTTATAATACTATTTATGAAAAGTTTGGCTGGAATTTTTCATGAAGCAGTGTACCTATGCCTTTGCGTTCCTGTATGAGATTGTTTTGTGGATTTTATCTTGATTTTAGTGCCGCTTACTCTTGGGGTTTTGGTGTAATGTAGACCAAAAGAATTGACCAGTGGGATGTTAAAACAGATTACAGCTCTACATGAAACTGAGCTGCAGTAGCTCAGCTACTTATACAGTTGTTTCCTTGCATCTACTAGATGCAGGTTATAATGTTCCAGTCCAAAGTAGGAATTTTATTCTCAGTCAGTCATCTTTTGGATCAATTTGTAGAACAGAAAACAGAAGGTAACTGAATTTGGGCTAAAGAAGATAGATTTTGGGTTGGGTTTTCTCCCCCCGTATTAAAAATCCTTCATAAATTGAAGTATGTAGATTTCAGCACCTAAGTATTTTCCGTATGGTACCAAATGAGCATATTAATTTTTCCACTGTTTTAAAATTCAACTGTGTTTTTCCATTTGGAGATAATTTTACTACATGACATAACTTGTTTGCAAATAGCTTTATTAGAGGTCTTTCTAGCTGGGTAATATAATTTATTTGAATCAATTAAAGATGAATTTTTTTTTATTTTACTTAGCTGGGATAGACTTGGAAATTAGTAGCAATTTAGACTGCAGCTTAGTCAAAGCTTTTCTTGGCATCTAGAGAATGCAGAGTTGTTTCCAAATATTTAGTCTGAAGTTTTGTGGCTTTTGCTGTAAATATAATACTGATTATTATTATTTTCTCATAGAATCATCTCGTGCCCCTGCAATACTACCACCTGACATGTATTTAAACCTGAGATTTCCCACTGAAGTGGAAAAGAAACCTTTACCATCCTTTCAGTCAGATGCACCTGATTTGGTTAGTAATCTCATGTACATGTGTAATCCAATGTACATGTGATTAAAATACTGTTTGTGTTAATTAATTTGTGTTCTTTGTCTCCAGAACAAATCCTTTCAGCTTAAAGTTTTATGGTTAATAATGCACTGTAAACAATATATTCAAAACACATTCGGTATAATTCTTCATAATCTTGTTGTTGTTTAGCATGAACATGAATATATCAGTGTGATCGACATTGAAGACAGTGACATCCTTAGCAATTTGCCCATGATACCTGAGTCTGCAGAAGAGGTAGATGCTGCACAGCAAAATGAGAAGTTTGAAATTCCATCTACTGCAAAACTTCACCACACAGCAGCTTCTGTTACTAATGTAATTCCATGTGAGGCTCTTCAGAAGCAAGGTAAATCATTTTGTTTTCAAACCTGAAAAAAGCAAGACAGTTTTGTTATAATACTTCCACAGAAAATCTGCAGCTTTCCTCTCAATTAACCTCCTGCTTTTTTAGCATTAAACATCAACATTTGTACATTTGACTTCTTTTGTGATGATTCCTGGCTCCTAAAATCTATCCTTGTGTTCAGCACATCTGTGCCTGATTACCTGCAGTATTTACCTGCTTGCAGTTTATTCAATGATATTGGTGCATTCTTTTTTTTTTTTTATTTCAAGGTGACCATCAGAAGAATGCATCAAGCCAAGTGCAAAAGGAAGATAAGAAGTCAGATTCTGCTACAGATAGTGTAACTTGGAACATACTACATGAAGGTGACAGAACTCTTCCTTCCTCAGAGCTTCCATCCAAAGTAATTGGCAGAGAATACTTTTCCACAAAGCAGCAAGAAATGGATATGCAATTACAGACACTACAGAACATGATAGAAAATATGGAGCAGGATTTCAGAAATACCAAACTGGTGAGTTCTGACAGCTAACTCTCATTTTTTAAACAGTTTATTGTGTAATTTTTTGCAGCTGAAGTCAAAACTTACATTTCAGAACTATGTGTTCTCAAATCTGCTTAGTATCTATTGAGAGAGATTGAAAATAATATACAGTTCTTCTACATCTAGTGCTGAACCATGTTGGCTGACATGGTTACTTACAGTGGAAGAAATGCTGGCCAGAATGGCCAGTTTTAAACATCAGGAAACTTCTGACTTATGAAGACTACTGAAATATTTTAGTTTCTGTGGTTTTTAGATAAGATATTTTGGAAAACTTCATCTACTTTAAAAATAAAAACGTCATCAGTAGGAGTAAAACTGTTGTCGCAAATAATAGCGTTTATATGTATTTTTCTCAAAGTACAAATCCAGAAGATTGAACTTCTTAAGTTAATCTGCTTGAGCTACTTTGATTCCTGAATTATTTTTGTTTGTTTGTTTTGAAACAGGAAACTGCATTAAAATGTTTATAAGATTATGATGAAAAAAGTTTATTTAAAGTATATTTTGCATGAATATCTGTGGTGAAAGTCTCAGAAACACCTTGAAGAAAGTGTCATTACTTAGTTTTTGGGTTTCATTTACAGTTAGTGAAACTAATAGAAGACATTGAAATGGCTACTGATTCAGACCCTAGTGCTCGTCCTTCATTCTCTGAAGCTGCTGAAGTCATTGATGATGGTATGTGTTCAGTTAATAGAAAGATAACACATTTGCAATTGAATATTAAACTTGACTGACTTTTAATTACCACTGAAGTTTAATGCAATCTCATAAGTTGTCATTGAAATATAAACCAAAAATACCAGAGAGATAAATAAAATGAAAGGTTGCAAATCTGACTATTAGGCATATTGCTTTAATAAAAATGCATTTGAAAGTATCTATAAGCCTTGATATTTTCAAAAATCATAGAAGTTTAAAAAATATGTATTTCTATTGTAACATGAAATCAAAACATGCTGCTTGTAAGTGCTTTACTCACTGATGTCAAACAATATGAAATTTGTCCCCAGGATTTATTTTTTATGTATATGAAGTAAGTTTTTTTCCTGCATCTTTGGTGGCTATTCAGTTGTAATATCTGTATTTTATTAAAAGCTTACATCAGCTTAACTGTTTGTTAGAGCAGATGTATTGAATGATTTATTGCTTATGTAAGAAACAACTATATAGTACCTCCCTAATTGTAGCTACTGTACTGTGCCAAGAGCATTGTCTAATCTACTTATGGAGTTAACACAAGGCCAAGTGGTAGAACCAAATTATGGCTATATCTATATTCACAGCTGAAACAATATTTAAGATGTCCATTAACCTCACACAGAGCAACTCCTGGCTCAGTTCATGTGTGCAGGATTGGTACACACACCACAGCTCTGGAAGTACCCTTTCAGAGAGGCACAGCTGACCCGAGTTCAGGTGGTTACAGGTTTGACAGATGAACTAAAGATGGCAGTAACAGGTATATATGAGTGATAGTTTTTGCATTGAGATGATTTTCCATTGGCCTACATTGGTTACTGTATTATTTTTTCACAGAATCAGAACGTAATTTGAGAGGCATGATTTTTGAAGATGTTATAGATGATCAAAAGGAGGGCTTGAACTTGGAGCATCCTGTACCCAGTTATACTCCAGTGGAATTACACACTCCTGCCGCTGCAGCCTTGGCTTCTAACTTTCCCAGTGGCATGAAGTCACCTTCTGGTATAATTTTTATTATAGATTTTTCCCTTTTGCACCTTCTGAAAATAAGTAAAACTTTTCTTCCTGGTGTAATACTTTTTCATTGCTGTTATACAGGCTGTTACATAATGCCAATTAGTTTATTAAAGTCAGTCATCAGTCTTTCTGGATTGCATTGTTTAGAATGGCTTCACTAATCTGTGCTGATAAGGAGTTTGTGTTACATGGCGGAACAGTATCACTAAATTTTGAAAACAGTTCAACAGTGAATCATACTTACACTCAAATTCACTGTTGTTGGAAGAAAATACCTTTGGGTCTGCTTCTTAAACCCATCACTGTGCTGAATTGTATTTACTTAATTAAGTGAAGAGGGTGTGGTGTCACAACACTCAAAGCTTCCTCCAAAAGCTGTCTTTATCATCTCTGTCATCTTCCTATGTCTAGGGAGGTGAGATCTCAGTTAAATCCAGCCACATCAGCAAAATCAATTGGTTTATTTCACTATAAAGTAACTACTGTTTGTGTCCTAAAATATTACTTTATGAAGTCTCATTTCGTTTTGCAAACTGACAGCAAATTGATTTTTGCAATTAGGAAGACTGTGGTAGCATTGGAAGGAGAAGGAAAAAAAATCAATCTCTTGCTTGAGTTTAAAAATGTAATGTCTTATTTTCTGCATATTACCTGCATTGCTTGCAGTCAAGCTTCCAAAAATATTACATACTTTGTAAATGTGAACTTGCATTTGATAGCCACATTTGCAACAGTCTGTCTTAGAAGGTGTTAAAACATGGTTCCTGTATCTGCATACAGCACAAGTCAGTCTCAAGTGGTATACACACCCAGATTAATTTTGAAAATAGTAATGCGGTTTTCTCTGTAAGTATAAACTTGTTACTTGCAAGCTGAGAAAGCTATAGGTGATACTAAGTTACAACTATAATTTTTTGAGGTGTAGAGTTTAGTTTAGGAGGGAAAGCAGTGCTCTTCCATCCAGGACATCCATACTGCTCTTCAGTTGCATCTCCTGAATTCCAAGCTCCTTCTGAGTTCCTGGCTTCTTCAAGTAAGTGTCAGTTGTTAATTTTCCATGAAACGCTGTATAATTAATTGGAACAGATAATTCCCAGTTAGTTGGTCATGGCAGAAGACTGACAACAGTGATATCATCATCGTAGCAAAACTATTCAAATCATCCAGGGATTTGTTAATTAGTGTTCTCTGAAGAATCTGTGCTAACCTGACAATCAATGACATGTTCTCTCACAGGCCATTAAGCCTATGTCCAATATGAGTTTATTTTTAATGTCAACATATTCAGGTTGATATATTTTTATATTTTATCTCACTGGCTGTTTAACGTATGTATGTTTAGTTTGTGTACAATTGCAAGGATTTTATTAACAAGGATTGTTTCTGTTTCAGGCTCTCACATATGTAGAGATTTACATGATAGGTACGTATTTTGAGATTGGTTTTTTCGAAAATCTGTTTGTGAAAAAGGAGACTGTCAAGGTGAAGTCATCACTTCATAAAAATCAAGGCATTCATTTTCAAGCTAAATGGAATCCCTTCTGTTAACTAATTTCAGGCATTTTTTCTGATTTTTGTAGTGCCTGTTACATTTACTTTATGCAAAAGCCACAGGAGCATTCAAAGTTCTTTTATAATTGCAAGTAACAGAGCTGTTAATGTAGATGGTGCTCTTGTCTGTGTGTATTTGTTATTTCTCCTATTTACAAACCTCTCTTTCAAGGAAATACATGCAACTGCTGCTAGCAGTTGTCTACCAAGGCCAACTATCACCAGAAAGTTTTTAAGGTGTTACCATATGAAAAGTGTAAAGCAACAAACTGAAGATTTCAAAACTGGAATGAGCCTATGCATTAGATAAAATGGTGTGACATATGTATTTTTTACTGTTAGCTGCTGTTACTCTTCTGGATCCAGTTGAGCAGTAGAAAAGAGTAGCTGGCTTTTCTTTCTTCCTGATCGTTCTGCTCCATTACCCACCTTTATTGTTTTGCTTGAAGCATAGCAGTAAACTGAATGGTTTATCTTATTGTTCAAGTAATTTACTGGAACTCCTTGTTGTGACAGAAGTAATTAGGGAGTGATTACTTAAGCTGGAGGATGGGTGTGAGGCAGTAAACTTTAGCAGACAGGTGATTTTTTACCCAAAGGAGTAACTTGAAGCAACTATAGCTTGTAGTCATAAACTATGAGAGTTGTTTTTTCCTGGGAGCAACTGATAAAAAGACAGGAAAGAAATAGGCAGAATTCAGGTAAAACTATCCTCTCACTCACACTGATTCTTGCTCAGAAGATCACTGAGACTGGGGGTTCCCTAACCTGGTAGCATCCCATAACCTTATTTCAGCATGTGCAGCAATACAAACCCTGTGAGTGCTCCTGGCTTCCAACTCAGCCTCCTCTGGGCCAGCCTTGTTCACACACCCCAGTGGAGCTCAGGCATTTCAGCTCTGGATGGGGTCAGACTTCTGGATATATGTTGGCTCAAGTGTACTTGATGACAGCAAAGCTAAGGGGAGGGCTGACACCTTTTTAAGGTGGTACATCTACACACATGGTCTAGGTATTGCTTGTGTGCACACAGTAGAGATGTGGGGAAAGAAAATCCAGTCCAAAGGTTTTGTGTAAAACAACCTGAATATTCTCATTTTAAGCAGGGGAGGAAGGATTTTAGCTTGTTGTTCTCACAGTCCCGTTCTGCATTAAATTGGTAACATCTTTTTTCCTCTACCTAACTTCAAGCTCTTTAGAAGATCCCCTGCAAGTTACCAGTCGGAGTGGTTTTACTGACATTAATGATCCTGTAGTAGAAAGTTACATCCCTCTGCCGGAGCTGGGCTTTACAAAAATACAAGCTAAGAAAATCCCTAGGTAATACCATGGCTGTTTTTATTATGTGCTAGTTAAATCGTTTTAACCCTTGTTATTTTTCTCATAGCTCATACCCTGTAAATGATGGAAGCAAGTATGTGTTTGAGTTGATGTTAATGGGACTAGTATTAGAACTGTTTAATAGCCACAAATTTACTGGCTTGTAAAACGTGCTTGTTGTTTTCTGTTAGTTTGGTTTACCAGGTGTAGGCTGGGGCAGAAATCTCTATATACAGCAGGCTCAGTTCAGCAAATGGACTGGGACCTTCTAAAACTGTTATGAAAGACAGAGTAGAAATTTGCTGTCAGTAGCACAGCAGATTCAGAAGCTTCTGGCCCAAAACTCCAGCTTGTTATTCTTCCCTTCCTGATTGAGGTTTCTAGACCTTCTGAGTGTCAGTTATAAAATCAGCTGTGTTCTCCCCTGAGAGAGGTAAAAGTGACAGCTGTTTCTTACTCCTGTTTGTGATATGAACTGCTGACAAAACAAAAAAATACAGCTGTTAGGGATGCCAGTCTATTGCACTGGTGCCACAGCTCACACCAGTTTAAGCTCCAGTCCTATTATCTGGATGTAGTTGACAACTGGCAGAAAAAATTTAGGAAACGTTTTGGAAATTACTTGTGTGCCAGGATTTTATGGACCAAAATTTTGCAGAAGAAAATTTCCCCTCTTGTTCATTACTTATGCTTCCAGCTGAGTCAGAATTTTAAAGGGTTAACAGTATTTTTATTATATCATGTGTAGTTGCCACAGGTTGCAATTTACAGGATGTACTAGATTATTTCTTATTCACATCTGCTCTCAGGGTTCATGGTTTTGCTGCTGCACATTCTCAAAAAACAGAAAAGGAGAGGAAAGAGATACAAACATGGATGAAAAGAAAGCAAAAGGAAAGAATGAGAGAATATATGAAGAAACTGGAGGAACAAAGACAGAAAGAATGTAATCCATTCAACCTAAGAAAGAATGTGGTAAGAATAATGGGAACTTGAAGAGTAACTGTTACATGTTGTACAAGTGTTGATTATTCAGGTTAGATAAAGGCTGACAGTCATTTATTTTTTTTTTCTATTTTAATATTGGGGGTTTGTATGTAGAATTTTATTTTATTGGAGCTGGACATAGTTGTGTCAGTAGAGATCAGTGAGCAAATGCACCAGTGTTCTTCACAGGCTGCAGTGATGGCAATTGGCAATTGGTTGCAATTAGGACATACAATCTTTTAACTGTAATGGATACAGCTATAACAGCCACTGATGAAAGACACGTTTTGTCAGGGAGTGAGAGCTACAGCAGTTGCTAAGATGTGTTTACATTTTGTGTCATCTGTATGCCTCCCCAAAAGCCTCACTGGATTTAAAAAGCAGAGTTCAAATGCCAGCAATCCTTTAGGAACATGATTAGATACTGAGGGCAGCCATCACCCACACAGAAGTGTGTGCAATTATAAAGGGTTAGCAGTAAATACAAGTTTATAGCCTGATAAATCTCTTCTGATCTGCACTGTGCTGGAAATAACTGGGGGGGTGGGAAGTTACAAAAGCCATTCAGAAGTGATTTCCAAATCATTATTAATTCTTAAAACATGCATTTGTCATCTGGCTACCTTTAGGATCTGAAAAGACCCTGCTGAGTCAGGGGAAGCTCTGGGGTTATAGGACGTGAGACATTGTAACAGCAAATATATCCCTATACTTTTTACTTGTTAGTTGAATTCAGGGGATGCTGTAAATACTTCTAGGCAGCAGCTCTGCTGGTTTTAACTCCAAAGTAGCAAACATGTACCACACACAAGTTTCCTGTTACTAAATAATTCAATTGTATTCACTTTTAGAAAGAGTAACACATCTCATCTATTTGAAATACATTATTTCCCCTGGTTTCAAACAGCCCTTCGGAGTGGAGCTGGGCTGCTTTTTTTGTACACCTGTAGAGAGAAGTGATTCAAGAAAAATAGGTCCTGCTTCTCTCCCTTTCCTGTGTTGCCAACCCATAAACATATACTTGATGCTTTTGTCATAGGCTTTTCTCCTGAAATCATTAGTGGAGGGATTCTCAGATTTTGGTAGGTGGTTTGGTATGGGTTTTGCTTTTTTTTCTTTAAGAAGAAAGCACTGAAAAATTCAAATTATACTCTAGCAAACACAGGCCAAAGTACAACCTTGACCTGTTTTTTAAATTAGTCATTATTAGGAACATAATTGATTTTTAGCAGACTTAAAGGCAAGGCCATTTGAAGCTTTGAACTTGAGAGTGAAAACATCTCTCTAGGAATGTTAATGTTTAGAGCACATGACTTATGGAAGATGTGACTGCAAGCTTTCAGTATACTTTTAGAGACTGGAAAGTTATAGAGACAATCTTGCCTGAATATTCTGGGAGGGCTGTATGCTTTCATACTGTTTTTCATTCTGAAGATGTCTTAAGCAGTAACTTTTAAGTCAAATAAGTACATTTTGAGAGTGAGAGTTTGGAATGAGAGCACAGTACATAGTAAGTTAATGAATATTATACTTTTTCTTACACAGCATTATAGTCCTACTTCAAAGGATATTAGAATGTTCCAGAACAGGAAAGAAGAAAAAGACAAGTAAGTTGCTATAAATACAACTTTTAATCTCCTTATTTATATATTAATCTTTCAGTGTTAAAAAAGAGGTAGTTTTAACTATCTTGTCTCTGAAACTTCAGATATCAATGATATGTCAAGATATTTCAACCAAAAGCATAAATAATTGATGTTTGTTTTGCCATTTAGGAAAATCCTGAAATGTTTCATCCTTTGACTGTATTTTTCACTTCCAAATTTCATTGTTTCTTTTTTTTTCCCCTATCACCGACTCATTCATTCTGTCAAACCCATTGGTAAGAAATTATTTAACTTTTTGGTAGTGATCTTAAAAGGTTTAGTACATCTTCTGTGAAACTGCAAAAAAAATGTTCTTTGTGTAGCCTTACGAGACTCACAAGCCAGCTGCAATGAAATGAGTGAAAGCATAAGGTAATGTATAATATTATTTCTCCATAGAGCCCTGTTATCTGAGCACCACAGAATGAGAATATCACAGGCACTTTCTCTGATGAATGAAATGTTATCTGAAACACCAGCACATGATCATAAAACTTTGTCCAGCACCAGATCACCTCAAGGGTACAGAAGAAGGCATATGGCATCTAGTAAAGGGTAACAGCTCTTAAGCATTAAACCTGCTCTTGTGTCTTGGCGTCTTTACCACACTTGAAATTGTTATGTAGAAGAATGATAGGTGGTAGACAATAGTAAGTATTTAAGCTTTGTTGCTCTGTTTGCATTTTTTCTTATTTTAGAGGGCATCTGAACAGTCCTGTTTTGTCAGAAAGGAGCAGAATTGCTGCCAAACCCAGCTTTGGTCAAAGATTACGCCGTGGCACCCCAGCTCTTGGTTTAACACAGTCCCAGGGTAAGAAAGAACTACTCCTTGATGAAAGCCCATGCTGAAGATGATCTTCAAGCTAATGCTGCATTTTTGTGAGGAAGGAACTTTAATACCTGTGTAGAAAATCAGTCTTAGAATCCTGGAAGTCTCCTGTTATGAGGCTGTTATAACTGTTTTGTCATTGACCTGTTAAATGATGAGAGTTACCTTTCCTTATCACCTCTCTTTAAATCCAAAGTAGTTTAAATTTCCATAGCAAGAGTGCTGGGTAATCCAGGAAGCAAAACTCATAGATGGAAATTTTTAAGCATCTTTGAATATGTTTGATCTGCATTTAAAAGAAGAAATGCTTTCTTTGGCTTTCCAGGAAATGCCTGTATGGCCCTACAGAAAAGTACTTCCAGAGGAAGACCGAGAAATGCTGCAAACTGTCCTGTTGATTCTAAACACTGTAAGTTTCATAGAGCAATGACATAGTGCAGTGCAGATACATAATACAGGGGAAAAGTAAGACACAGAGAACACATTTCAGAATGTGTTCTCTTCTTCAGAACGTGGAGATGACTGAGAGGGGACCTCATCAATGTCTATCAGTAGCTGAAGGGAGGGTGCCAAGAGAACAGAGCCAGGCTCTGCTCGGTGTTGCTAAGCAATAGGACAAGGGGCAATGGGCAGAAACTGGAGCACAGGAAGTTCCACCTGAATATGAGGAACAACTTCTTTACTGCATGCGCTGGAACAGGTTGCCCAGAGAGGTTGTGGAGTCTCCCTCACTGGAAATATTCAAGAACCATCCGGACACAATCCTGTGCCATGTGCTGTGGGGTGGCCCTGCTTGAGCAGGGAGGTTGGACTGGATGACCCACTGTGGTCCCTTCCAACCTTACTCACGCTGTGATTCTGTGAATACATCCTGCCTCAGATACAGCATTAGTTTGGAAGAATAAAAATCATCATTTTCTCCCCTCATAAAAATCCTTTAAGTAAAATGTTGTGAAATATTTAATCAGTCACCTCTGTTTACCTTCTGAATGGTTTTAGCCAGGTGGTAGTTTCAAGATCTGAAAAAATGTGCTAAATTTCAGTGAATTCCTGAAACACACATTATGAAATCATGAGGGACAGAAGCCTTGAGTGTTTCGTTTAGTTGAAACCTGCAAAGAGAAAGTTAATTAGAAGACCAGGACACAAGTATTGTGCCTCTTCCCTGCCTTTCTATTCTGCTTACTCTCTAAGATCTTTAAAATAGAAATTGTCTTTATTAACCACCTGTAAAGTATCTAGAAAAGATATGATTTTTTCATAATGTTATTGTGAAAAAATTTGTGACCCAACAAAAAAATCCTTTTGGATTTTAGTGGTACTTTTTGCCATGCCTATCTTTGTAGGTCTGGATCCACAAAAGTTTCCTCTCATAAATATTCCCTCCTAATCAAAACCTTTAACAGATATAGAACTTGTTAACAGCAGAATTTCTGATCAGACAGAAAAAGAGTGAGGAGAGAATCAACCTAAAACTTAGGAAATACTGTGGGTCGATTGCATTCTGCCTTACACCAGAATTATACTAGTGGCATAATTGGATAGCCAAATGTCAGTGTATTTGAGTTGGCAATGCAGGAAATTGAGAGAAGCAATAGTAAGCAGAAAGGACACTGTTCCTGAATCACTCTACACATGGAAAGTAATTTTCCTCCTCCTTTCCATACATTCTCTTTTTCAACTCTGTATACAGGTTGATCTTTTTCTGATTTCCTGGCACCTTCTGTATCTGTTTCTCCAATATACCCCATCACTGCTAAGCATTTCATTAAAGTTTCATGTCTTCTAAGAGGCACAATCCAGGATTTGTTTAGTTTAGTCCTCTGTCAAATAATGAAGCAATGTCCCTTTTTTGGGGGACTGCGCTGTAGAACCTGGATGCTCTAGACACTGTACATGGTCCTGTTCCACTTTGTGTTCTGCCCTGGGAAGACAGTTCAGAGCACGAGGCTGGAAGGGACCAGCAGCCTTTTCTCACCATCACCCCACATCAGCTCAAGATAGCAGGGCATGCTGTTTTCACATGGATTTACTCACAGCTTTCAGTTCTTAGAACTTGCAGATTCTGTTCTTGGAGAAGTTTAAAGAGATTTAGAAGAAAACAGCAAGAAGCGTTACAATGCTGTGGTTGGCCTGTTTTCTCCTCAGCTGCCGAGTACAGAGTCAGCAGAACCTCAAAACAAAAGCCCCCACAAGTTACCACTGCAGTTCAGACAGAAGATATTGATCAAGAGAGTGATCGAGACATAGGAAGTCCTTGGACTGTGCCTGATGATATCCAAAGAATACTTCAAGATGCTCATGACTCCATGTTTCAGGTAGAATTTCTAGTTGTACTAGGAACTATTTGGTACTTGCAATTTAACACTTTCTTTGCTTCTGCTTTATTTAAAATGTGGTTCTCTGTTTTAAATATGTGTATGGGATAGATGCAGGACATAAATGACAGTGCTTCAACTGAAGTACCTTTTGCCTTTACAAGCAAAGTCATTCTTGTGAGCCTTGAAATTGAACGTTCTTTTTAACAACTGCATAGTTACACTGTCCAGGTAACAGACACTGGTTGGAGTGCATAAGCAGGAAAACAAATTGCATTTGTTGCAGAATAATCACATAACTTGATTAGGACATGTTTGAAAAGCGTGGGATTGTTTCTACTGTCCCTGAAAGATGCACTTTTCAGCTCATGTTCTCTCCCTCCCACAGGCCCCTGCAGGGTATGACATGAGTTTCTCTCCTCTGGGCAGTGGCAACACTGACAGTGTTTCTGAAAGCACGGGAAGTATCCTCAGCAAGCTGGACTGGAATGCAGTTGAGGCCATGATAGCAGAGGTGGAAGATAAGTGAAAATTTCCCAGCCACTGTGCACTTCCAAACAGTTGCCAGTGTTTGGTTTCAGTAAAAACAATAATTGTTCTACTTAAAATAGAACAAGTCTTGCATTGGCTTCCTTCTTAAGCAGTATGGAAACTCTCACTGCTTTCCATCTTGCCTCGGTGAAATTCAATTCCTTAATGTGTAGTTTTCTTTCTATATTTCTTCAGGTCAAGAAGAACTAAGTATAGTTGGTAAAAGGAGACAAACAGTCTTAAACAGATCCAGGTCAGCTACTTTATGTAGAAACGTTCATGCGTACAAAAAATGTTATTCTATTTTAAGAGTACTGCACAACTGTTTTACCTTTGTATTTAATATTTAACATCATTCTGAAGTTATTTTTGTAACATGATGGTTGTGATAAACTGATTTAATAAAAGTGAATTTACTAGTTTCTGCCGTAAATTATTTACACATGGAGCAGTTCCACTGCTGTGTACCACTAGGACTGTATGTGTGCACATGCACTACCCTCATATTTCAAACCTAGCTTACTTGTGCAGTAGTTTAGAGAAATCTTAGAAGAGTTTGAATGACTGAAAGAGGTACAAATAGGCAGCAATAAATGAAATACAGAGTTTTGTTAGGAAACTCAGACAGCAATATAAGACACAAAGGACTGAGTTAAAGAGCAATATCACTGTTCATCCATCTATATGATGCTGCTTTTTTAGAGCTCCTCTAGCAGCCTCCAGAGATCTATGGGAAAATTTCCCGTAAGTTCAGTGACCATCAAGTAGTCGTGGTAGTCTGAACAGATGCAGTTGTGGTGACTCTTTCCCACCAGCAGTAGTTTTTACTTTTGTAGTGAAGAAATCTGAATTTTTCATGGAAGTCAAAAGTGTGTTAATTTCCAATTACTGTCATTGAGAACTGTAATAGTTAAAAAAAAAATAAAAATTTCATATTTCCACGTGAAGCTGCATCTTGGCAAACGTCAAAAATAAGGTTCAGAGAAAGGCTGTTACAGTATTACACACACATACCAGGATAGATTTGACAGTTGACTGGCCACATTTTATTATCAGTCCTCAGAATCTGCATCAGCTTCTCTCACAGGAGTGACCAGACTGGAAAACTCTGTCTTGGGTGGGACTATCTCCAAATGGAAAGGGCCAGTACCTTCCAAGAGTCAGTCCAAAGCATGAAACTGTGACTTTGAGTAAAAGTCTTTCTCCAGAGTGGCAGCAAAAAAATCATCAGGAAGTAACTGTGAAAGATATTGTTTTGTCCAAGTATGAAAGTCTCCTTATGACCACAGCCAGCCATGAGGAGGAAGAGAAAGCGATAAGTTCATTTCATTTTAACACTGGGGAAGGAAATACTTCAGGTGCCTCCCTATCCAAAGCATCACAGATCACTGAAACAAGAGCAGAGAGGCAGCCCAAAAACTTCCCAGTCAGAATGTCAGTGCTAAACTCGCGCTTTGCCTGAGATATGATGGCAGCAGGTGCAGTAAAACCCCTTGCTAGGGTTGGGTGCTGTAGAAACCAAAGACAAAGGTTGCTGGGAACTGCCGCCAGGGCAGTGGGCACTGGGATGTGTTGCTTGGATCAGGTGCCATGGGAGTCATCAGAAGATCCTGTTGCTGAGATGTCTCCCAGAAGGACCCACTGTCAGAGCCAGTGCCGTGGCAGCCTGTGCTGAGCTCTGTTGCTGTGGGCAGTGCCATGGCAGAATTTCCTCTTGCTGAGTTTGGGTACCACGACCACCATCACTAAACTGTGTTGCAGAGGTAGGATGCCTTGGCAACCAGACACCGAGATATGTTGCTAGGGAGCAGTGCCATGGCAACCAGCACTGAGCCCCAGTGCTCAGGGATGGTGCCATGATAACCATCCTATAAACCTGTTGTTAGGGTTGAGTTGCAGAGCAGCTTTCCCTGAGACCCCCTTGCTATATGGCCAGGTGCCATGGCAACCATCCTTAATACCTGTTGCAAGGATAGAACGCCATGGCAACCATCAAAAGGATTTGTTGATATTGTCAGTTGTCCTTGCAACCCTCCTGAGGTCCATTTCCCAAGGTCCACCTCTGTGGAGCAAGAGATGCTGCAGCAGGATGTAGAGGAGGCTGTGCCCAGGGCTTCACTCCCAGGCAGCTGGTGAGCCCTGAGGAGAAAGGCCAGTAGCACCGAGGACCATCCACCCCCACAAGGAGCCACTCTACCACCACTGACACTGGGAGGGGCCTCAGGGCCAGGCCAGACCGGCAGCCAGGACTCAGGATAGTCCCTGAGAGGTCTTGGACCCCTAAATTTAATTGTTGTGCAGTGTGGATGGCATTGGTATCCCCACCCTTTCCCTGGTGCTAAACCCAGTGATTCCTCATGGCTGCAGCCAAAAGGCTCTGCACTGAAGTAAGCTATGAAACATCAGCTAAAGAAAGATGAATGCATCAATTAGTTAAGAAAAGACATATGGAAATACAGAGTAGAGAAATGTGGAAAATAGAATATATATAATGTCATGCATACTTAGAATAACCCAATAAAAAATAAGAAATGGAGGAAAAGTATTTTAGAAAGAAGGGTTGATTTTTGGAACAGCTCAAGTCAAACAAGCTATAGCAACTTTCATTTTCCTAAAGCACAGTTATGCTTTTTTGGGGTCTCACCCAATAAAACCCTAACTTCCTTTAGCAGTCTAGTAGTGCGACATTTCCATCTGAAAGATATTGAAATTTCACAATTAAACATGCTTATGTTTGATGTTTGGCTTCTTTAGTGTTTTCAGCTTTACAAACCCAAAAGCAACTTATTTCAGGAAAAAACTTTCTTGCAGGAAATTAAAAAAAAAAACAGAACCAAAACCAACCAACCAAACGAAAACCAACCCCACAAACCATACCCTAAAAAGAGATATTGAAGACAACACCCACCATCAACCTAATAATCCCAAGGAAATACAAGAATTAAAATAAGATGAAAAAGACCAAGCTACAAAAATAAGAACATACCACGTCAATAGTTTTTGTTCTTTAATATGAATCTTTATGATTAAGGGACTCAGAGAGTAATAAAGAAATTGCTGTTTACCACTGGCTGACATTAGTTATGCACCTTCAGCAGAACTGTGTCTCTAAGTCAGAGCTCTGACTATTTAAACTGAGACTACTAAAAAGATGTAAAACTGTGAAAGCAGAGTTGAACATACACAGGGCTGGCCTTTATGTTTTAGTTTCAAAACCAGTGGCCAGTAAAGAAGGAGAAATAGGTATTTTCAAGGGGAACCTACAAGGGAAGGTGGTTGACTTTCAGGCTCCTTAGCTCCTCAACCTCAGGCTCACACCTTCTGAAGGTGGAAGAGAGTGTCTTCAGCTGTGGAACAAGAAATTGTGTGTGGCACTGGAACATGTACACAAGCTAAATCTGCACTATGATTTGTAAAATTTTGTAAGAAAAAGGAACAAAACTCCACCAGTACCTACTATCCAAACAATAAATACAACCCTGAAACTTGCCTTTAAAGTCACACTGTGAGCTTCAGGTAAGACAGAAGAGGTAAGGCACCAAAAGACTACCCTGATTCTCAACTGGAAATTTTTAAAACACACTGAAGTAATGGAAAGTTTTTTTCTTTTTCTGATGTAGAGAGACAGAACAAATAGATGGAAGGAAAGCTCAGAAACTACACAAATTTGAAAAGGGCCTGCTCAGAGAAATACATGCCTTGTTATGACCAACTGGGTGCACCCTCCTAAAAATCCGTGGTGTGACATTTAAGGAGGTGGCCTGAGTGGGTTTCTCAGTCAACACCTAAAAATCAAAGGTAGGAAAAATTTACACTAATCATGGAGGATCCTATAATCATTGGTTGCCCAAAGAGAAGAAGTAAGTGTGTAGAAGCCTGTACATGGTTGGTCTGGAAAGTTTGGTCAAGATGGCTTGAAGGCTGAACACAGACTTTGTAACAACTTCTGCACCAATTATTTCATGTGGATGTCAATACAAAGGGGAGGAAAGGAGTCCTCTCTCTGGCAACAGCAGTACTTTTGGACAGCAAATGAAAAGAATTGATGAGGAGTGATCCAAAACATAGAACCTGAATCTGACTTGCAGGTTTGTATTGTGGAGATGAAACAGTAACATTCAGAACTGCAGTGATGCATCACATAGGAGGTGTTTCAGGCTGACCTTGAATCTGAAAGTCCATCTCCACATGGGACTGTTCAAAATAAAAAAGCTCCATAAACACGACACAAATGGCTCTCCTCAAGGAATCATTACACTGTTTGCCTGTGCACACAGAATACATTTAGTCTAAGAAGGAAATGCAAAGCCACTGAATGTCTCCCTCCACATATGTATTTCTGGCTTACAGGCACTTAAGTGCAGTTAAGCAATATTTTTGTACAACCATAAATCCTGAGAACAAAATACGCAAAATAAAGAGACTGAGAAAAAGATTGTTTCCCAAAGAAAACCTGTCTTCAGTCTGTGCTTAGGAAGTCAGAATGAGAAGCAGATGATCCCCTGTATGGTTTCTCAAAAATAAATTACACGTAGTGACAAAATTGGGCTGTCCAGCATTTTCTAGCCTTCTGTAGTTGGGAAGAGAATTACAAATAAGGGATAGGTAAAACAAATTCAGAGGGTATTCTGGGAGAAGGGAAAGGAGGAAGTGCATTGAAAGGTAGCTGATTCCTTACACAACAGTGTTCAGGAGTGGGGTTTACAGCCAACACCAGCATAAGTGGTACCCACCCAACATGGTTTAAGTGCTTGTTACTAAAGCTTCCTGTAAGACAGAGGCTGCAGGACAGGCACAGCAGTAGGATCCTTTTAATAACCAGTCCCCTGGGCAGGTGGGGATGGAAATCACCTTTCTAGGTTTTAGGAAGCAGGCTCTTGTTTCAAAACAGAAATAGGAGCCTTTCAACACAGCTGCACCAAGTACAGCGATGGAGAAAAGCTCTTTCGATTTCTTTAAATAGTCACTGGAATAATGAGAAACAGTTGCCACTGTGTCAGAAACTGTAACTGGGACAGTCAGTTATGTGGTGACATCCCTCTTGGACTCCAGTGCAGATTCCCTTGCCCGGATGGACAATTGCCAAGTGCACATGACTGGCGTTGGTGGCCCGAGCTATCGCTGTTCCATGTGGGATAAACCCTCTGCTCCCAACCCGTTGGTGCCCATCAAGCCAACCCACAATCTAAGGATTGTTTTGAGGAGGGTATTTGACCGAGGAACTCGGGTAGCTATGAGCAGTGTATGCAGCTGCATGAGTGCCAAGAAAAAGTATTCCTTTTAGAGAACTCCAAAATTTGGTGCAAAATTGCACCCGAATAATGTAGAAATTAGAAATTATGTAGTTATGTCTGATGGGATGAACACACACTGGCAAGAATTCTCCCAGAACAACCCAAAAGTGTATTCCCTGGATGGTTTACAGGTGCCCCAGGCATAATTTGAGCAGTGTGAGCACAGTGGGAAAGGGATCAACAAAGTGTATGCATACTCTAAGATAAAAACTTGCAAATTTCATTGTGGAAGGGTCCAAACTGAACTCTTAAAACATTTATTTTAAATAAATGAAATATGAAAATACTATGAACTTATTTGTATATAACAATAACACTTTAATATTTAGTCA